ACTGCTGCTAGAGACTCCACAGGTGATTCTGGCCAGTTCCATGAATTTGCTTGTTTGTCCTCAGGTACGTGTAACCCTGCCAGCACAGCTTGTTTGCTGATACACTGGCATTGGTGTCAGTGCTGCTACAGGAGAGTCCCTTCATGCTTTAGGATTTTATCTTTTATATTTTTCATATATTTGTAATCCTGCAATTATTTAATGTATAAATCTAAACTCCATATAGAGTGTTAGGTGCAGCTTTCCCATTTTGGTCAGACAAAACAAACCCTCTCTAGGCCTGGGAACCAAGGACACCTTTCTGTCTCAGGCCCTGAAAAATGTAAAATAAAAGAGAGTTGGGGGTGGAGAAAACTTGGGGTAAATTACTTCATTACCTGAATTACCTGCAATTGAAGATTAACCCCCAATATGAAAATGGACCAAACTTATAAAAGTATGAAAACTCATGACCCATTGTCCATTTTTTTGGGTGTTGCCCCTGGGTGGGCTTTGTCTGCCCAAAGTGTACCTGAAGGTCCTTCAATAAATACAATCACTTTTTATTCCCTAAATTTTGTCTGGCCTCTGTTTTTAATTAATCCCAACAAGGCATCACCCTGACTTTAATTTTAAATACACTGAGTTGATTTCATTCACCCAAAAAGATGAAGTTGCTTTCTAATTTTTGGGATAGGTCAGTGTTTCACCAGTGACTTTTCTCACAGTGCTGTGACTCTGCTACCTCTTCATACCTCTAACTGGTGCTTTCTTACACAACCTTGTCAGCATTTTAGTGGGGAAAAGTGATGAAAGAATTTCAAGACCACTGCTCTCTGGATGAAGTTCTCCCTCTCTGTTGGCAACCCTGCTCCCACCCTCTCACCAGGCAAGCACAGAGTTAGGGCAGGGTGAGGAGTGGACCTGCTTTTCCCAAGTACTCTGCATTCCCTGCATGCTCATCTTCACTGCCAAACTGAGCACGCTCCCTGGGTTGCTCCATCTTGAGACTTGTTTGTGGGAGACAGAGACTGCTGCTTCCCTGCCTTTCTTCTATTTCTGCTGTATCATGGCCTCATTGTGGAGGAGAGCTCAAGATCCCTGAGGGTGCTCAGGGTGCCTGGAAGCCAAACTCTCCCTGATGTGCCTTCCCCCATCCCTTAATTCTCAAACAGCTGCTGACAAGGCCCATCCACTCCCGGCTTCTGTTTCTAACAAAACAGTGGCTGTATAATATTGTTTAAGGAATTTTAGTGGGGTCAAAGACTTTTCTTTCTTCTAGTGTAATTTTCATCTGATTTGGTCTGGCCATTTGTCTTTATAAAGGACATTTTATGGGCCACAGATCCCCAGGAGAGGCTCTCACAGAAGGGAGATCTGGGGGGGAAGAGACATTAGTGCCAATTTCTGCATGTATTCCCACCACCCCCAACCCAATCCTTATTCCACCTAGATTTAGGGACAGAATTTGGGGTTTAATCCTAAAAGTGTCTGTCAGAAAGTTCTTTCGGAAATGCCGAGATTTTTAAAAAGCACATTACTGGAAAGAACTAGTTTTATAAACAGCTAAGGAAAGTTGTTCTCTCCTAAGGTGAGTGGAGGCTTCAAGGGTACCCTTGGAAACAGGTCCCTCTCCCGGAGCCATGCACGCCTCCCGCACTTTGCAAGGTGACACAAAACCCGGAACAGGCAAAAGGAACGGCACCCAGGACTTCACGAGCCCCACTGAGCTTTATACTCCTTTGCCAGCAATTTCAACAAGAACGAAAGATGAATGTTTCACCAGACCACAACCAACCGAGTGAAAGTATAAAGAGCTAAAAGCAAAGTCACAGTTTGATGGGGAAGAACAGCAATGCACCTGAGGGCTGGGACAAGGGGAAAAAGAGCAACAGGAAGAGACATAGAATGGAGTTTACTTTTCAGTTGCCAAAGAAAAGTTTGAAGTATACTTCAAAATTGATTTAACCATGCTCTGTAAAGGGATAGAAATTATTTTTTTTTCAATAAAAGAAATTGGACTATAGACACATCAAAATGTAACATTTTTATATTATTATTTATATACTACATGCATCATTTATGTGCTTAAGAGAGACATTATTCCTGGAGAACTTTACCTTTAGAGATGGACCAATGTCAGAATTTCACTTGTGATATTTCAGCTCCACTTAAGTTTGGTAACTTTTTTTTCCAACATACCTTCGTCTCCATGTAAGTTTAGATGTTAATTCAGATGCTTAAACTGATCTGTTTAAACCCAAAGTTGTTACCCAGAAAAAAATGATTGGGATGATGGTTTGCATTTTGACAAAAGGCTCCCTATCACTGAGAAGGTTATCCTGTTGGAAATATTTTGGTTAGGTCTTACATCAGAAAAAGTTACTATGGAGGTAGCCATACCAGGAGAAGGATATAGCAATATATTGCTATAAATTATTTCCCTTATTTGAAATAATATCTATTAATATAAGCATACTAGAATAAGTGAATACAACATGTTTTGTCTTGGCTTTTTAGTTTGTTGCTCTATATTTCATATTGATAAAGGCATCACACTTCCTAAACCCAACAAGCACAACACTTTCCCATGCTTGTGCTAACTTGGGCAAGTCTAGCAAAGCTCCTACGTTTGTAATTTCATAAGAAAGGTACACCCTGTGATGCCTTTCTGGTGCAGCGTCTTAAGAGCATAATGTCATACCAGCAGCAAACTTCTTGTCCTGTGGCTGGACCCCTGAGCATCCTCTAGGGGATGTCACAGGCAACCACCACAACTCAAACCAGAACATCTGCACTGCTCATCCCTGCTGGCACCAGCTGAGCTGCTGCTGCACTCTGCTCCTCCCTGTGCCCGCCTGGGGTGCTTGCTCTAGGATGGACAGCACTGTGGGTCTGAGAACAAATGCCCTCAGCCTGAAAATGGCAGCCTCATGTTGTGGCCCCAGTCCCAAACAATGCAGCACATGTGTGCTCAGTGAGATAGTTTTCAAGCTGGTGGTTTCCAGACTCCCTCCTGCATGGGGGGCAGGAGGAAGTTTCCTTGCACTGTTGCTCTGGCACAGCTATGGACCCAGCAGCTTGGGGATGGGCTAAGGACAATGCACAGCTGCTGGGAGTGTAGAACCATCACCCCAGCGAACTTGGGAGCTGCACTGAGGGTGCCCAAAGCTGAACCTGCTAACACAGGCAGCACTGGGCCCAACTCTATTCCCAAGCTCAGTGGCTGGTTTCACGCAAGAAGCCTGTGTGTCTGCTCGGGCTCGGGGCTGTATCCCATCGGGACAGGCCGTTCATGCAGAATTGGGGGCCTGCGAGGGGCTGTCGTGCAGGACAGAAGGCAGGTGCTGCTGCGTTAGCGAGGCAGTGTGCACAGTGCGGACAGCGGGACACAGGGGCACACCACCACGTGTCCCCTGTGCTGGTGCCTTGCGGTGCCCAAGAGATATATTTTCTCCACCCCATAATTTTCCCCATCAGCCCTGTGTCAGAAGTGACAGTCCCCAGGGACACTGTTCTGGTGACACGGCCTGAAGTACCGTGTTCAGCTCTGGAGTCTCCAGCACAGGAAGGACATCGACTTGTTGGACCTAGTCCAGAGGAAGCCACCAAGATGATTAGGGGGTGGAGCACCTCTCCTATGAGGAAAGGCTGAGAGAATTGGGATTGTTCAATCTGGAAAAGGCTTTGGGATGACCTGATTGTGGCCTGAAGGGAACCTACACGAAAGATGGAGAGGGACTTTTTTTTACAAGAGCATGTAGTGGTAGTGACAGGAGAAAGGGGAATGGCTTCAAACAGAAAGAGAGTAGGTTTACATTTAATATCAGGAAGAAGCTCTTTACTGTGAAGACACTGGTACAGGTGCTATGGATGCCCCCCAATCCCTGCGAGGTATTCAAGGCCAGGTTGGATGGGGCTCTGGGCAACCTGCTCTAGCAGAAGATGGCACGGCAGCAGGGCTGGAACTAGATGAGCTTTAAGGTCCTTAACAATTCGGGCCATTCTGTGATTCCGTGATGGGAGGTTCAGGCCGCTACGGCTCCTCCCGCATCAGCTCCTGAAGCCTCCCGCGAGGTTGTAATGTTCAACACGCCTTCAAAGCTTCTCTGCGGAACGAGGGAGGAGGCCCCTCAGCCGCGCCTGCCCCTCAGCCGAGCCCNAAGACGGTGAGTGGGAGCGGGGCCGGGCAGCGCCGTGGGGCGGCGGGAGGACCCCGGCATGGCCTGGGTTGGCGGTCGGGAGTGCCGGGTTGTGGGGGGGGAGGTCCCCTGGGCGCAGCCCCGCGCGGCCTTCAGAGCTCGGATCGTGCCCTCCTGCCACTGGCCGCGCCCCTCGGCCTCCTCCCGCTGGGCTCGGTGTCCTCGGGTTTCCCCCGTGCGATGTTTTGGGGTGCTTGCAGAGCTCCTGAGATGGCTGCAGGGAGGGAGAAGTGGTGCCGAGGTCCTAGTGTGGGTGGTGTTCAGGTTTTACCTTTCCTGACATGTTCGGGCCTTTCTCTTAGAGTGGCTCTGACGGATCTGGGTTTCTTGCTCAGAGGTGATGATTTCGTCTGTCAAATGCACCTAACCTGTTGTCATGAGCATCACGCTTTCCTGTTGTAATATGAGTTCGATATTGCACAGAATTACTTCTTTCTGCTGCCCATGTAATGTTGTCAGTGTGTGCCTTGAGGAGAGACAGACTATAAGCCTGGCTTAGATTTGCAAGGCAGAAGTGGTATTTACTTAGCCTTGGCTAGCTGAGCTTGATAAGAGCTTGTCAGATACAAGGAGATGTCACTGATTTATGTAGACAGCAGCAACAGTGGTTTGACATAGATTTTCCTATTGAGAGATACGGGGGTAAGAGAGAACTTTCTGAACTCGTGAAAACACAGTATCAGCAATGCCCCTATCCATAAGCTTTCTTACACTCAGGTAACTGACTGGCCTTTCTTATTCCGTATTTCAGATTATAGGGAGATTATGAAAAATGCATATATTCGAAATGTCTCTATTAGGTTCTCCATTGTTTGAAAAGTGTGAAGTAACACAATGATTGATGCTTTTCTACATCTTTTTCAGAAAAAGTCCCTGGAGTCCATCAACTCCAGGCTTCAGCTGGTTATGAAAAGTGGCAAATATGTGCTTGGGTACAAACAGACCCTGAAAATGATTCGTCAGGGCAAAGCCAAGTTGGTCATCCTCGCCAACAACTGTCCTGCTTTGAGGTAAGCAGATGTGTGAGAGAACAGTTCTGAGATGGGTTCTTTGTCCAAATGCAGTGTGTGTTTCACACTAATTGCTCCAGAGACTTAATACAGAGGGCTTTGCTGGCATGTTCTAGAGTGCTCTGAAATAAAAGTGATAGGTAGTTTGCTGTGCAATGATTTCAAGTCTAGAAGTGTTAAAGTGCTTCCAGGTCTAATTCAAGGAGTTTGCACTAGAAAAAGTATTGGAAGGTTTTCACATTTGATAACTTTCACTAAGAGTGTAATGGAGCTGAATTCTCATGTTTTTCTAAAGTAGTGTATTGGAAAATAATTTTACAGCTAGGAAAACTGATAACTGATTTAAAATATTTGAAGCACACAAAATTTGTCAAAGTTAGTTAAAAAGTTGGGGTCCTGGCCAGTGAAACTGCTTTTTTGAGAGTATAATCTGTACTAATAACATGACATTTTCCTCACTGAATATCTGGGCCCTTTTTGTTGTCAAGGGATATTGACAGTCTCAAGAAAATGTAAATGTGAAATCCAGAAATTAGATACTTGAGGAATAGCAGGACTCTTACAGTGGGAAGCAATCTCCGATATTAATGGGGATCCCAAAATGCTTGGGAAACAGCATTGACTGCTAGACCTTCATAGTGGGAGTCAGGGCAGTATAGATGGACTTTTTATTTTAAATTAAAATACATGGTTCATTTCTCAGCTGCAGCAACTGTGTCTCTCTGTTCAGCATCTGGCCACCAAGGGCCATCAACATTAATTCTCTTAGTTTGTGCACTTCGGCACAGCTCCTGTGGCCTTTCAGAGATCTGCAGGTGCTGAGTCCTTCTACCGTGTAGAAATGAGCCTGTGTAGGGAGGCTGAAGGCTGTACCTGAAGGAGTACCAGTCTCCTGAAGGAAAGCCTGTACAAACCTTCAGCAGACATCTAAATAAAGGTTCCTGAGCCACAACCCTGAAGTGATTTTGCCTCACAAAAAACGGCTGTGTTTTTCTGGATGGGAAGGAAAAGTGTCTTAAGGTTTAAGTGTGCTAGGAGTTAAAGCTGCTCTTCCTGTATTGCAGTTGGTCAGAATTGTTTGAGTCTTGTTAACACCCAGTTTTTTGATTTCAGAAAATCAGAGATTGAGTACTACGCTATGCTTGCCAAGACTGGCGTCCATCATTATAGTGGGAACAACATTGAGTTGGGCACAGCATGTGGAAAATACTACAGAGTGTGCACACTGGCCATCATTGACCCAGGTAATTCCTTCCTGCAGTGTAGGGATCAAATGAGGAGGTGTCTGTGGATCCTCCTTCCTCCTGTGAGTAGCAGCACTGAGCAAGGAATGAGCAGAAGTGATGACACACTTCACTACCCTTTTCCATTTTAACACTTGAAATTTCCTCTGACCAAGATCCTGTTCTTTTGTGAGTCCTAGTAGGACTTTTTTTCTTTTGTGAACTTGGTAGGAATGCTGCTTCTCTTGCACATAGCTCTTATATTGCTGAGCCCTGTGAGCATTTTATCTACTTGTCAGTCTGTAGGGAGGTTTCAGTGTCTGGGGCACAATTGTACAGGATCTGTTTCTGAACCCATCGGCTAGGACATGAGCTTGCACAACATCATGTTTACAACAGCCCTGTTTGACTGTTCTTAATATGAGACAAAGGATTGTTTTTATGTAATTACTATGGTTTGGTAACAGTTTTTGTCCCTGAGAGTTGCTCAAATTCCTTACATAGAATGCTAAGTAGGTGACTTAACATCCTCTGTCCAGAATATTTTAAGAGCAAAATCAATCCCTTGTTCTGTTTGTTGACCAGAATGCATGCACATAGGTTCAATGATTTCTGTAATAACTTTAACCAACTGTTTCTCAAGTCCCAATGATTTGAATTTCCTACTTCTTCAGAAAACTTTATTTAGCTTGCTTGTATTCAAATAGTAGCTGTAAACTTAATTTTCAAAATACCACTTTTAGGTTTGGTTTTGGGTGGGGTGGGAGCTGCAAGTAAATCCTAATGCTCTGTAGCTAACAATGCGAATATTCTCGCTGTCCTGATATTTCTGTGATCAGGGGAGGCTAGACATTCGCTATAGTAAAACTATGCATTGTGTCCTCCAGGACTACTTTGTTGTTTTAGTCCTGGCTTTGTAAATGCTGGTGACAGGTGCATAATTACTGGAAAATACTGTATTTGGATTAGAAAGACACAGTTACAAGTATTTTTATCAATTTTATCAAAATTATTTGCTTTTTTTTGGTAAGCAGTCTGTTGCTTTCGGGTTGTTTTCTTTTTTTAGAATCTCTGTGGTGATTTTATGGATTGGGTTTTTTTTCTTATTTTTATTCCTAAAAACATTCTTCTGTGGGTCCTCTTGTAACAATCCATTTTTGTTTTACAGGTGACTCTGACATCATTAGAAGCATGCCAGAACAAACCAGTGAGAAGTAAATGCTATAAAGGTGTTATTTCTACAATAAAACTGGTTACAGTTTTCTTTAAAGAAAAATTTGTATTATAACTTTGTTGGTTTTAGGGAACAGACTATATAAATGAAGATTCATTACCACTGCTGTGTTTCTTTCTTTCTGTGGCATTGTGGATCTTGGGAGGTAAGTGAAGGAAGGGTTGATCATGGCAAGTGTTGTGACAAATTCCAGTGGGCTAGGGCTTCCTTAGTGTTTGCTTTTGGAGTGCTAATGCAAGCACAAGGTATAACATGAGAGACAGTTGCAAATTTGGGATGTTGGTGGGGAACACTAAAGGTTTACTTGAATTAAAATAATTCACAGTTTTTACCAAGTGAATCAAGTAATAATGTGTGTTACTCCCTTTTTGCTTTCCTTCCAAGAGTGCATATCTGTAAAAAGGCAAACAGGATATAGCTTCTAGATGTGTAACATAGGCTTTCAGTAAAATACCAGTGAACTTCACATGTTCCTTATTAGGGATTGTTAATTGAGGTACCAATGATTTTCTGACATGGTAAAAGCAAACACTTAATGAAAATCAGAATGTACTGTAACCTTGAAGAATTTGAAACTGCTAAAGCACAGGGTACTTTTCAAAGCTTGATATTGTGTATCTGTGCACACTCATTGGCTTGTCTGAGATCACTTAAGTCCTGCTGCAACTACTTCTGTTATAAAATGGTCCCACTTGTTCTATATCTGTCTGTATACATAGAACTATATATATATATACACATACACATAGACAGACTGTGTGCTTAAAATACTAAGAGTGGAGGAGTGAAATACATAAAAGCAAGCTAAGTAAATTCATACCCTAAAAATACTTCAAAACATGGAGGTTTCATTTCAAAAAATAACACCATTTTATTATTTTGCATAGCTTATTTCAGTTGTTCTGCTTAATTAGAACTTTTGCTAGTTACTAAATTGTTTATATAAAATATTCAACATTTCTTATCTGCAATCAATGCAAGACAACACATGGCATATAAATGCAAGGATCCAAAAGAGTCTTTTCCACTTCAGGCACAAAGATGTTATTTTACTTTGAACCAGTTTAAGAAAATAGCTCTGACAAGTTTGAATGTATAAATATACAGTGTAGTGTACACTTAAAATTCTGATCAGTATTTTAGCCTGTTTTCCAAGTCTTCCATTCTCTTCGTCATTTCTTCCAGTAGATAAAAGTTAAGGAAAGAGAGTTTCTGATAGGAGGCATTAGTAGAAAAAGTCAGCTACCTGATTGCTCTGGTCCATAAACATTCTCTTGTTCCTCTTCCAGTAGTTTCTCATTCAGTGTTCCCCTGTATTTTCTTCAGATTTGATCAGCTGAGTTGAGAAAGCTGTGTGAAACCCCCATTCCTTAAAAGGCATACCTTTACATGGAGTTCAGACTGCAGCTTATTAAAAAGGCTGTTTCTACAAATTGGTTTATTTTCTCTATTTTAAAGGAAGGGTAAATATTTATCTAGTTAATGCTGTTTAGAAAATGTTTCACTTAACCATATGGAAAACTGGGTATCTAACAGTGGATTATAAAACTATAGGGCTCTGAGACCCCAGTAAGGCTGTCTGCTCCTCATGATCTGTTCCTGTCCACAGTTGTGACAGTGGTTTCCTGACAAATGTGGAGTAGAGCACAACAAACTCCATAGGGCTGGTTCCATTTCCAGTAAGATGCTATAAAAATACAAAGTAGTGCACAGCATCCCTTTCCTGATAAGCACTTCCAGTTGGCAGGAATGCTGTCTCCTGCAGGAAGAGGTTGGACCAGTACTACTTACTTCAGCACTTCTCTCTGTGTGCAATGGAAAGGCAGCCGGGGGAAGCTGAGAGGAAGAGGAGGCCTAGCATTAAGTGAGATCTGGAGGCTCTGAGATCTACCTCAGAAGGATGAATTTGCTACACCCCACTCCTTGCTTGTTTGATTAGGGTCTTGATTTTAACATTTTAAGGTCTTGCACAAGGGAAGATGGAGAACTGGGCATATAAATTGGGATCTTTGACACATTGCTGTTAGGAATTTTTTAGTGCAGACAGGCAAATTGAATTTGGCCTCTTGACTTTGGACAGAACAGCCATGTGTACTGTGTCCCCCCCATCAACATCAAGAGAATCTCTTGCTAGTACAGAGAAAGAGCGGATATCCTGCTTCTTTGGGTCTGCCTGGACATTGTGTTTGGTAATTTCTCATCTGTCTGCTGCAGCAAGGTTACTCTGTGCATATGAGCACCATGTGAACTCCATTTTCTTCAACAGCCATATTTTTCAAGTGTTCAGAGAGGCAAAGTTGAAGCAGTGAAACTGCACTCAACTACTGATAGAAGTTAGTGTAGCTGGACACAAAACAGTTTGGACTGGTGCCTCTAAATTTGTAGTGTAACGAGCTACTTTTGTAGCCAGTTCTCCCTCCCCCACCCTCCAGATCTCTGCATGATGACTAGACAGCAATCTGCAGTTATCAAGAAGTAGTGTATCATCTCATACCTGAGCTGCTCTTGAGAGAAGGCAGAGAAAAGAGGTTTCTAATAAAGAGGAAACTGGATGGCTCATACTCTTCTATGCAGTGGCTGCACAGTGCTCTAAAGAAGTCCTTAGCACTGTTCCTATAAAAATTCCTAGTCTCTGGCTCAGTGTTGGCAGGTTTTCTATCACCTTGAGCCATTCGAGTAAAAATCACAGGGTTGCCTGCTCAAATGGTAAAGGAAAAACACATGTTGCTAGGCTTAGCAACTAAATTCTTTGATTCTGAGTAAGCTCAGAGTTCCTCATAGCCCAGCTGCAGGGGATTGCGGTAAAGAGCTGAAAGGGCAAGAGTTGGTGTCCTTTCTTGTCAGCATGTAGGTTGGAACACTGCATGCCATATAACACTTAAGGATGTGGGAAATGACTTAGAAATTTTTCTCCAAAGTTGTTTGGAGAAGTCCTGTCAGAACAGTATGTATGTTGATGAACATTTGAAACACACAGCAATAACATTATATGATGGCTTTCTCCTCCTTTATGAAAATCTGCTTTGCATGGAGTAATTTAATCAAGTGATAAGAACATAATTCCTTAAAGTCTCTGCCAAAGGATTCACTTGGGTAGGTGAGAGAGAGGTTGGCTGTTGCTGGGAAGGTCTGAACGGGTAGCCAGTGTTCTGCATCAGGTTACCAGCCACCGAGGGCTCTGCCTGCCTTCCTCTGGACAGACTTCACAGTCTGAAGCTGTTCCTGTCTAGGAAGTGTGCAGTGATGAGCTGCTGGTATCACTGCACTCTTCTGTGCAGAGAATAAATGCTTACTGCTCTTGAACACAGTTATGCAACTCAAGTCTAAGATGTGATGTCTTCTTACTGTTTGATCAGAAGCAACTTTGATGAAGAAAATAAGAATTTGCTGCATAAATAGTACATGACGGGTTGTATTGCCAGTTTGCTGCTGTTTCCTGAGATGTGGATGTTACAGGCAGCATAAAGGCTGCTGCACTAGCAGCTGCCTTGAAATAAACAGACTAACTGGGTGGCAGAAGCTGCTTATCTGCACTTTGCTAAGTTTTGTATGCATTTCTTTTAATGCAAGATTAACCAAACCTAAGTCCTCTGATTTCCTCTGCATCTAGAGTATGATTTTAAATGATTCACTGCATATGGTGCCTCACCAAGCAGTTCAGCAGGGAAGCATCTCCTGTACTCTGACACCTGTAGCCAGTAATACTATTTCAGTAGCATCTGAAGATGCAAAGCATGTTAGTCTTGAATATGACTGGTTGTTTCTTTGCTGTTCCTTAAGGTGTTTACTCTAAGGGGTTATTAAAATTCAAGATCCTTACTAATATTTTGGTCCCTTCTATGAAGGAAAAGCAGATTAAAAGTTAAAGGCCTTGCTTCTTGGAAACTAACTATTATATGGTTTAGATTATTATTACAATAAACTGATTTTAGCTGTGGAGGCAGTTGCAAAAATTAGTTTGTTTAAGCTGCCTTTCTTATCTTACCTGTAAGAAACAGTTACTCAGAAAGGATATATCGCTGGGTGAGTTTTCTTACTTGACTGGTTGCATAGTTCTGGAATGTTACAAGGTTTTCACATTTGCACTGGTCATTATCTTTTGAGGCTTTTGCTGAAAAATAGAAACATTTAAACATAGGCTGAATGTTGAGTAAATTGAATTGGATGGGGACGAAATGACAAGCAATTGTAAATGCAGAGCAGCTTCAATATGGCTTCCTGTTCTCAAAGCAGGTCAACAGCCAAAGGAACGCCCTGCGGCAGATTCTGCTGGTACTGGTAAATAGTACAGTGTGTAGTCTTCTATGTTCAAAGAACAGTCTGGGTTATTCTAAACAAAGGTAACCCAATTACCTGTTGTTGAGTGAACGTGACTGTCTTCAAAAAGATACTTGTGGTGTACTGCAAGATGTGGACAGTCAATGACATCTGTGATGGTTATTGTGGTTGATTCAGGTCCTGCAGGAAATCCCCCAAAAATCTAAAAATCAGACCCATTAAATTATACTTTTTCTTTCCTACTCACATGCACTGAGTTCTCCTTAATTAGTAAGTAATCTCACTAACTGTAGTGAGGATCATTCAAGGAAAGGACTAGGGATACAAAGATGTGAAGGAACCAAGCTGTTAGGCTGTGTTTACTGTATACATGATTTAAGTTCTGTGTTGCAGAACTGAAAGGGAATTGTGAAGGTTCCTGTGAGAAACAGAAGCAATTGAAAGCTGAACATGCTTAAAGTGTCAAGCACAGTGTTGAAATACAACCTTCCCCATGAAGTATTTCATGCAGATGATGTAAGAAGCATGCAGCCATGCTTTTGTTACAGTGAATCTCTATTTTTCATATTGCAGAAAGTAGGGTGACTTGGAGAGGCAAGGAGGCAGGGACATGGGATGAACCATTTTAGCTGAATTGTGACAGTTCTCTACAGAAGAAATTAAGCATGAAAAGGCAGAAGGAGAGGACACTTGAGCTAAACCAGCCAACCTGAAGGCTGTGGACCAGTCTTATGAAGCCTCCCAGATGATGCATCCTGCTGGTGATGTGACTCTTTCAAGGCTGGTAGATAGAAATTGCCAAAGGAAATGATATCACAAAAGGAGCAATAAAAATGTTCACATTCCCTAGAATTGGAGATGTTTCTTGCCAGTAATTTGGTGTTTGTCTCTTGTAACACCTGGAGAATGCCTCATACCTGTGCAATTTAGAAGTCCAGTGTTGATGGTAACTCCAGGGCTTGCCCTTCAACTCAGACTATCAGAGGAACTCCTCCAAAACCAGAAGTGAGTATTTAATAATAGTGAAGCAATCTGAAATGCCAGCAATCTACTTTGCATCCTATAGTGAAAATTCTTTAATGTTTCATTATCCATCGTCCTTTGGAATGAACTGAATAAGAATATTGCCTGGAGAAAGAAAAAGTTTCTTCCTGTCCTTATGTTTTCTTCTTTATAATAGGAAATGTTGATCAGAGAGTTGGGAGCTTTCTAGGTGAGAAGGGTGCCCCAGAGTCCATTTGATACACTACAGTTATAAGCAAAAATACACGTTTCTAATTCATGAAGCACAGTGAGGATTTATTTCAGAGTCTACACCCCGATCTTTTTAGTCAAGAGATTGGGAGGAAACAGAAACCTGTTTTTTGAGGTAGAGCCTCATCCATTGTGTGCCCTGCCCGTTTCTTGCCGCCAGAGGGCAGTGTGGAGGCAGCTGCGGCTTCTTGGGCACGGGTCCTTCAACAGGGAATGAGCACCTCGCCTCCGACTGACTGACTCCGGAGCCCTCCATGGCCCAGAAGAGCTAAAGAGCAGGTATTTAACAACTGCACGACGTGACTGATGATGGAGCATCTGGGACACACTCCCTCCTCTGGAACCCAGAGCTCCTTCCCTGAAAGTGAGTGCATGGGGTAAAAGGTGACGGCGCAAACTCACCTGATAGGCCATGAAGATGCAGTAGGGAGCTGGAAGATGCTTCTGTGACATCTAGATTTGCTATAACTATTGGGGTCCCCTGCTGGTTTAGTCAGTTTGGAGAGATAGACAATAATAAACAGCTGTGCTAAATTGCACTGGGAAGGAGATGAAGCCGTCTTGAGTGGAGGTTGGAATTACTGAGGATGAATATCAGGGAAGAACAGGTGAGTGGTTGCATGAGACCAGATATCAGGCAGCAGAACTACAGTATTTATATATAGAAATAGATATAGGTAGATATGGATACCTGAGTCTGCATGGGACCCAGCTGCTGGAAGGAGCTCAGATTTTGGAGAAGAGTTCAGAGCAGAGAGGTGTGGGATGAGATCACAGGGGAATGAAACAGATGAAAAGCAGACTCTAGCTGAAGAATGATCCAGTGGGAGCAAGGATGGTGAAGATTTCTGTTGTAGGAAAGATAGAGCAGGTAAGATGAATCTTGAATGTTTGACCCTGGGTAATGACTTGTTCAGGAGCTGCAAGCTAATGAAGGGGTTGTTTAGGAAGGGCAGAGAAACTGACCTAAAATGTTTGAGCTTTGGACACAAGGCTGGTGTGGACACATAATTAGAGACAGAAAAAGGATAAATGCACTGGTAGAGGTCTGGCAGGAGGTTTCCAGTTTGGAATAGGAATTTGGCATTTCAGAAACTCCAGGCTTCAGAAACTAGTTGGGGCTCTAAGATTTCTGATCTCATTGCCTCTGTGAAGCTGAATAAACACACAAGTAGTGACAGAGGCTGATCATCCTGAATCTCTTGGTGAAGTCGGTGCAATGAATAAATTTGCTGGGGACCAATGCTGAGGTTGGATGTTCATTTTTAGTTTTCAGTTTTGTAAAAAAACACAAGTAATTTGTTAGGAGGAGCCTGTGAGAAAGTGTCATCGAAAGCGGTGTCTGAATATTTGCTGAACTGATAATGATACACAATTTGGAAGGAGAACAGAATGTTAACCAGCTGGCTGCTGAGTACTGTCATATGATCAGGGCTGGGGTTTTGTGACAAAAATAGTATATGACCATGTAATTAAAAGCTCTCACAATGCACATGCTCAGAACAGGGCTGCATCTGCAATCATAGAGAGTGTGTATTATGTATGACATTGCTGGAGCCTCGTTAGTGCTTCCAGTCAGATGAGAAATTAACATTAACCAAGGCAATGAATGAGAACCTTCCAAATGAATTCTTCTTAATAAGAGGCAAGAGAAAAAAAAAAACCTCCTTTTTTTTTACCTTTACTACTAGTCATCAAGAATAATTAATAGTAATCAGCGACTATTTTACAAGGCAGATGCTTTCTTGCAGAATAAAAGAAAAAAGCCTGACCCCAAAAAAACATTTGGAGGGCTTCTACTGTAGTTGGAAACATGCAGTGCATCCACAGCTGGGACTAGGGATGAGAGGCTCTGTCAGTGGAGTCCATGAGGACAGGATCTCCTACTGTCCTACAAGCTGGAGCCTCAGAAGATCTCAGCTAAGGACCTAAGCTGGAGTAAAGATAAAAGTCATTATTATTGCAATGGAGGAGAAAAATTGCGCTGTATGCAACAGAAGGAATTTCAAAAATGAACTTTCAGATTGTGTAACAGGTTTGGAGGCTGAATTTCTGGTGGAGTGAGTTGATGAGTAATAGGTAGTCCTGGAGTGTCCAAAAACAAGGCTGGGTCAGTCCTCAGTTCACAGGTATGAGGCACTCATTGCCCGTTGTTGAGAGAGGGGGAGGACAGAAGCTGAAGCACCAGTGCTGCCCAGTTACCAGAGGTGTAGACAAGAAACGGCCACAAAGGGGCAGGATTTACCTATTTTTTTAATATTGTAAATAATGTAGTTAAAAGGAATAAAAATGGTGATTGCTAACCACTGTTGTGGATATCTGAAGGATGCATTTCCATCACTGAGCTCTAGGGTTTGCTGCTCAGTGGGATTTATTATACTGGGCTTTGCTAATGAGTGAGAATTATTGTCCTGGCTGCCAGATAGTTTTGGCTTTGGCATCTCCAAAAGCTTTTAAGATGACATGCTGTCATTGGAAGATTATCTGCTTAATAAGGTTAATTGAACTGACTTGGTTTCATATTATCATAGTATTTAGTATTTCAGAAAGATGAAACTAGGACTTCTTAGGACTGAAGGACAAAGAGTATGCAAGCTAAGAAACATCCTCAAAGTCTTTTTTACAGATTCTTCCTTGAGATCTGTATAAAGAAATATCCTGCAGCTAATTTTATACAATAATGTTATGTTAAAGGAAAAAAAAAAAAAGGCTGTTTGCCTTTAATTCCAAGAAAAAACCAAACCAGATAAAAGCTAGTGAAAATTAAATAATTAATTTTGCACAATTCTAGTCCTATGACTAATATCATTCCACGTGTTATTTCTGAATTTTGCTTCTGATACCAGTTTGAATCTACAAAAAAATACTGAATCTTGGGAATGTATGAGTGGGAGAGATGCTGTCCTCTCTCTGGCTCTATAGCTTTCATCTCAGCTCAGATTCTCCCTTCCCCCTGCAAAACTTCATCTGGGAATGTTTATATACAAGCTGTTCCAGAATGAAGAAGCGTGCTTTCTGAAACAAACCTTCCACATTTGTGTAGCAAGACTCAGAGCTTATTCATAAATGAAATCCACTCTTTATAGCTGTGCATGTTCAATGAAATATTTTTAGTTTTCTATAAATACACACAACAGCTCTTGACAATTTATTTTGCTGTGGTTTGGGTTTTTGCTGCTGCTCTTAGGATTTTTTTTAATTCTAATTAAGGTATAACAAATCCCTGTTTATTTTCCCACATTCCAAATGAAATAGATCATGTTTATTTGGGGTGGGGGGGTGGTGTGTGTGTGTGTGTGCATTGCATGTAGATTTCTATTTCTATCTGACTGTAGAAATAGAAAAGAGAAGAAGCAATTCATTTTTCTAGGCATAGAATTGTACATCTTATGCAGCCTTCATGAAAATAAAGGGAAGATGATTACATTTACCCAGTGATAGATTAATAGTATATATTCTTCATGTATTAAAGGGCAGAAAAAGCCAAAAAGCAGCACATTCACTTCTATCTCAAGGAAAATGGAATTTTGTTACCTTCACAGATTTGGGCTCTTAGCTCTTCACTTATGTCTTCCAGAGCTGTGAAATCCTCAGCATAGAAGAGATGTTTATATGATGGCTCAGAAGCAATTTCCAGCAGTTCTTCCTCAATTGCTTTTCCTATTCCAATGGCATAGATGATTATACCTGGTTTCAAAAGAAATTGCACATACTTACTTTAGCAGTTCTAATTCTAAGCACTTGTTCGACCACGAAAAGAAAATATGAGAGAAAGGTAGGGCCCAATAAATGTATATTCTATGTAACTTCAAAATCAGTGAAGAGGCTTAATATGCTTTAATTACTGGGAGATTTGCATAAACTTGTTTGCTGTAATTTGACCTACAGGTTTTGTTAAAGAGATGACACTTGCCTAGCCACTACTGATAGTAAATGGTCCCAGAAAAAGTATTACAAACAATCTAAGAGACTTGCACAATGGTGTTTCATTGAAATCCTCAGAGCACATTGAGACTTGATTCTTGCTCTCCAAGGGGCACTAACAGGCTGGAAGGCCCACTTAGGAGGGTAAGAATGGGAAAACAATGAATTGCTGGGGCTAGAAAAGAAAAAGCCTTACAACAGGGATACTCAGGACAAGCATTTCCGCAGTGAGTTGCTTGGGAAAAGGTAAGTGAAGATGTGTAGTTTTCTTAACTCTTGAAGCAGGGAAGGAGAAAGTGGTTCACAGCTCTCTCACCAGATAGATTTTAAACAAACAACAAATACAAAACATAAAGATCTTCAATAATCTCTTTTTCAGCAGTTATGTTTTTATGCTTGTAAGCATACGATCTGATACAACATTTCTCTTTATACCAGTTCTGGCTTGGAAAGTGTCCACAGCGAGTACTTAATTTGTGATTCATAGTACAGCTATAAGCTGCACAGCTCTTCTATGACTCAAGAGAAGAAGCTGCCTTTCTGGTTGGCTTCAGATAAAAATTGGGATGAGGATGTTTGATATCTTTATTTAACATGAGGTGATAACTGCTGCACACTCACTGAACTGCAACTTTTAACCTTTTTGCTGAAGAATCATGGACCTGGTGATACCACAAAATGTGCATTTTCCAAGTTTTTACTTAATGTAAGTATCTCCTTACTTTTCTTAATGAATCTGCCTACCATTGCAGGAAAGGAAAGTGTGAAGCTGATTCGATTTAATGAATGCACCAATCATGCTGAAGTTATTGCTGTTTAAAGACTTGGGGATATCAGTGATAAAGTAGTCAAGGTCCATTTCATATTGAGCATTACTCTTGGTTATGCTGCTACACAAGGGATGGGTTTGGCTTTATAGCATTGCAGAATCAGTGCAAGGAGTCCAGAGCTGAGGTTTCATTTGGCAATGAAACCTTAAGAAAGCTGGTTTGTACTTCCTTCCTTCTTCTGTAAATCCTTCATGTAGTTTCATGTCACTAGTAAGCCTGTAAATATTTGGGGGTTTAAAAATTATTTTAAAACCACTTTATCTTTCATTGTAATGGCACTCTTGTTAGCACGTGCCCTTCTCATATCCTTGGATGTTCTTCCCTTCTCTCCTTACAGAGAGATGTTGATCCTGATCAATACTCTACTAATCCTGTATCAAATTCTGATTAATATGTCAAATCAATAAAACAAGCACAGAAGAATAGATGTGCAAAATCTTTTAAAATCTGGCTATTTTCCTCGTGTTGTGGCCCATTAGCCATGGTTTTTAAAGCAGTTTCTCATAAAATAAAAATTTTTGCAAAGAAAAGAGGGATTGTTTTGTTTCTGAGAAGTTTTGAAATTTTTTTAGTTGACTCTGCTAAGCAGATTAAATGCTTCTGATTTGTGGTACAGGTGTCCTAAAGGATGGATGTCTGCCCAAACATATTAGAAGTTAAAAATCACCATTTTTTTGTCACATTTCAGCATATAGGCATGTAGTAATAGTAAGCCAGAGAGTACTATAGCTATATTCTCTGAAAAAGAGTCATCTTCCTTCCTGAATATGCTTAGCACTATAAAACTGGTTAAAAATAAAGAATATACCCTGTAAACAAAAATATAGCAAATTATTACCATAGTATTTCTCACAAGAATAGGTCACTGTATTTTGAAGAGACAGCTTGGGGTTTCTTTTATTGTTTTCCTAGAATTTTTGATGAAGTTCCCAGTGTTCCCAGATCTCTGTAGTGAATGTCCACCCTTAGAGATAAGTTCAGGACACTCAGGACATGCCAGGCGGGTGACACCACTACCTGTGGTGAGATACTCCCCATGGGTCCGGGTCCTGCTCTGGGGATGATGCACATGCCTGGCAGCAGAGGCTCTTGTGAACACAAAGATCTGATGTTGTGAACACAAAGAGCTGATGTGCAGGACAGTGGTCACTGTGCTGGCCAGGCTGTTTTGGCAAACACTCTCGATGAGCACACCCAGACTGTTACTACATCTTTAACAATATTTGCCTTTTAGAATGAGACATCAGAAACATCTCCACTTACCACGTTGCTTTGCCCTGGTAGCCCACTCAGACACTTCATCCTGGGCCCGTCCATCTGTAAACACAATGGCGATTCGAGGGACATTTGCTGAAGGTGGTCTTGCTCCTTCTGTCTCTGTGAAGCTCCTCTCAGACATTTGCCTCAGTGCCAGTCCTGTCATGGAACCTCGGCCCATGTATTTCATTTGTGACACAGCTTTCTTCATGTCTTTGGCTGAGCTGAACTGCCTTAATGTAAACTCTGTACGAACCTCAGTGGAATACTGAAGCAAACCAACTCGAGCAGCTTTGGGTGAAATCTCAAGTGTATCCAAGATTCCTGAGACAAACTGTTTTACAATTTCAAAATTATCTTCTCCAAGACTTTTTGATCCATCAATCACAAACACCAGGTCAATTGGGCCTTCAGTGCATCCTGTGAAATGAGGAGCAGAGCGTAAAGATCAAGAAAAAACTCCACAAGGCTGGGAACGGAGCCAGGTATTCTGGCAAAAACTCAGGGATCATCTAAAGTACTCTGTTCCTGGCTTGTCCTACTGTGCCATTGTGTTTGGAGATGTTGTGTACAGTCTGTCTCAAAAGCTAAGAGTGGGCCTATGACTGAGAATTTAACAAAATTATAACTACAGTGAATATTTACTGAGACATAATCTGCTTTGCAGAATATCAGAACTCTTAAAAAATGCAGAAACAATCAGCAAGTATTAAGAATTACTCTTAAGTGGAGAGAACTCAAGAACATATCTAGAACATAGACAGAGTTGCCATCATTTTCTTCCAGAGAAGAATGCTAACTTTGCATTTGTCAAATTTGTCAGCACTGAGAGACGTGGAAGAGAATCATTGAAGCTGCATTTGTGCTACAGGAGTTATAGAATAGTTTTAAAACTATTTAATTATTGAGAGAATCAGAATTGGCTAGATAAGGGCTTTTTTGCTTTTAAGTGTCTACCAATTTTGTAACTAGAAGATTTACGTATTGCTGCAATTAATCTTTTCTGGTTTACCCATTAGAGCTGGGAGTTTGTCAGAAGACAGGCAAATTTGTAAAATTTGTATTTCCCATACTCTTTAGCAAATGCATATACAAAAATCAAAGTAGTTTGTAGGCACTGGGCATCAATAATGAGGTGAGGGAATTTAGAGATTGGAGAATGTCTCCCAAGCTGCAGACTGCTTCTGCCAGGTGGGTTGTTTTGGTATGTTTGGTGTTTTTTTTATTCTGGGAAGGAATTGCCTTCAGCAGGCAGAGATTAGTGTGCTTTGTGCAAAGGATAGCTGCAGATGTGCTCAGCTCCTATTGGGTCAATGTAGCTTCCAGGGCAAATACGCCATACTAAGGAATGTAAGAGCTTCTTACATAGTCTGGACCAAATAAACTTTGACCTCCACTCATCTCTGATCTTTGTACAGGGAGAATTCTGTAGCAGTACACAAAAGAGAATCGTGCAGCAGAAATTACTCTGCAGAAATTACTAGAGATACTTGTTACCAAGTCAATGTACAAATAAGGGGTTTTCAGCTTTAAAGCCTGGACTTTCCTTCCTAAAAAATATTTTAAAACTGCTCAAGAATTCTTTTTTTGCAGTCAACTGAGAAAAAGACACCTCACTTATACTAAGGTGATGAAAATGTAATGAATATATATATATATATATATCAGAACCACTCAATACTACTGCATAAGTCAAGAAAGGGCAGCAGTTCATGGTGCATGGTGTCAATTAGGATTGAGAACAGCCAGAACTTGTTACTGTTCTTTTGGTAATCACAGTCTCCTCAACTAAGGCATCCGTTTTTGGCAGAATAAATATTTTTACTGAGTTCCAATAGAATTTCTCCTCCAAGTATTAAGAGACAATGAGATAAAAGCATGTCATGTTGGAAGATAAGCAAATAGAATTAATGGTATTTTAAAATATAGTACATAAAGATAAAAGACCCACAGTATATGAACTCGATTAAAATGCATATTCCTTGATAGTAATATTCCACTTTGGCTTTCTTCTGATGTTTCAAAAGAATTATTGTTGTACTCAATGCTATACTAAAACAACTCTTCCAATATAGATTTTTGCTTAGGAGAGCATCAAGTTAGTTGTTTGAGACATTTTCTGCCACACACGTTATGCCCTGGGCTTTCAAATATTGCATGTTTGAAATGAGAGGTTGTGGCAGTGTTCAAAGCCAAGCTGGATTGGAGACACCTGGTCTAGTAGAAGGTGTCCTTGCCATCAGCAGGGTGATGGAACTAAGTGATCTTTAATAAGGTTCCTTCCAACCCCGACTATTCTATGATTCTATAATTTTTTTGAAGTGAGATCCATTAATTTTAGAAATAAAAGAAACAAATGCTTTCTAAATAAAATATACTTACTTCTGCATGTTTTCTGATCCTCTTTTAGTACATATCCCTCCTGGCATTTGCAGATATAGGAATCATCATTATTAACACAAGCATATTCACAACCATGATCAACTGATTTACAGACATCTTTACCTAGGAAAAATTGAAGTATTTATCTGTATTCAGTGTAACATTTTATAAATTCAAAGACTCCAAACATGATATCTGAAGAACATATGACAAAGGAGTAGAACATTTTTGCTCATTTATGTAGCAATTCCAGAAAAGAGAGGCTGACAGACATAATGAATTACTTACTTCGACATGTTTTCCCATCTTGTCGCAGGACAAAGCCCTCATGGCACTGACAGCTGTATGAGTTGTTATTATTAATGCACACATGTTCACAGCCATGGTCAATGGATTTACACAGGTCTTTATCTGAGAATTGTTAAGAGAATCCCCTTATTAGACCACTTTTCAAATACAAAACAGCCATGAACAAGCTTTGAGAGAAATTAAATCTGTTGTTTCTTTAAGACTGAAAAATATATTCCCCATAAAAGTTTCAGCTACTCACTCCTGCATGTTTTCCTGTCTCGCCTCAATACAAATCCCTTATGACACTGACACACGTATGAATCGCCAGTTGGAACACAGAGATGTTCACAACCATGGGTGACTGTTTTGCAGACATTTTTACCTTGGAATAATGAAAATTGTATTTAGCACAGTTAGTTAAGTAAATAAATTTCACAAAATATAAAAGATTTGGCTATAATTTTCCATGAAGGACCTCACTTACATGAAGCTGATTCTATAATAAAGACACAAATAACACACTACTGTTGCATAGTGTGTTTCATTAACAGATCAGGAAGTACAAAATGAAGATTAAATAACTTACTCCTGCAAGATTTTCCATCTTCGCTCAGCATGAAGTCTTCATGACACTTGCAGACATAGGAATCATCAGTATTAACACAAATATGTTCACAGCCATGGTCAACTGAGTTGCAAACATCTTTATCTGAGAAAAGTGGATGGGGTTTGTGAGCTGAGGCTTGTGAGGGAGAGATGATATCTTTTTTTCTAACCAGCCCAAATAATTGGAAATCACAAACATACACATGTGCACTCACACCCACAACACTTGAAAGCCTCAAATAAAAGCAAACTTTTATAGCTCAGGCAACTCACATCTACATGTTTTTCCATCTTCCTTCAGTATGAATTTTTCATGACACTGGCAGATGTAGGAATCTTCAGTATTCACACAAACTTGTTCACAGCCATGGTCAACTGAGTTGCAAACATCCTGGTCTGCAAACAGGAGAGTTGGTAGTCAGCACACATCATCAGAGGCCTTCATTATTGTATGTGTAATTCATCCAATAAAGCTCTTGTGCTGCTTACTTCTGCATGTTTTCCCATCTTCTCTCAGTTGGAACCCATCATGGCATTTGCAGGTATATGAATCACCAGAATTAACACAAACATGTTCACAGCCATGGTTGACTGATTTGCAAAGATCTGCATCTGAAAACGGGTAACAGCTTTTGCTGGTTAGCACATTTCTACACAAGCACAAGCTGCAGATAAAAAGTATGTTGATAAATATCAGACTACTTACTTCTGCAAGTTTTTCCATCTTCTCTTAGCAGGAATCCCTCCTGGCACTTACAAACAAATGAATCACCAGCACTAGCACACACATGTTCACAGCCATGGTTGACTGATTTGCAAATATCCTTGCCTGGGAATAGTTAGATAATATTTATGTGGATTGTTAGTTAAAATTTTTATAAATACAAAGACTGGGGGGTTAATCCCATGAGCAAAAAAGATGGAAGCTTGCAAACTGAAAGCAAATCTCTAGCTAGTTAAATGATGGACATTTTATCTTAGATTATCTAGTCTTTATCATCTGACAGAACTTCATGCTTTGGATGACCTCCAACTGAAAATAAACCATTTTAGGATTAATCTGACTGGATTAAGGAGGAGGAGGAGGAGGATGATTTTACATTAAAAGCACTAAGAGTGAAAGAAGGGAGTAATTTAGTATAGTCATTTAGCACAAATTTACGCTGGTAAAAACTACGAAAAACACCACAGGACATGATTTAAAACCATAATTCTTAACATTCTTATATCAGTGCCAAAAGTCTGCATAAACAAAACCTGAAAAATAGGAACTACTTATTTAAGACGATAAACAAAATCTAACTGGATTGCTGAAAATTGATGCGAGGACTTGTATGATTGCAATGTTAAACCAGTTGGTTAAAACCTCTTCAAAAAGGATAGATGGGAAGAAAGTGCAGAAGAAAGTGGAGCCATCTATCAGCATTCCCTTTTCCTTCTTCATGCAACACAAAAGAAAATATCAGTTTCTAATGGAGAACTACCTTTACACTAGAAGTGGCCTCCTGAGAACCAAGTTCAACTTGACTCTTGAGGTTTATAATTTAAGAAGTTCAACCTGAGCCAAATTTCATCAGGGTCTCCTGCTACCAAAACAAAAATTCCAAAAACTACTACATAAGACAAAATTCTAACTGAAAAATAGTTATACTTAAGACATGGCAATCGAATCTAGATCCTATCTTAGTGGACATTTGCTTAAATGTTAAACAGAATAGAATACAAACCAGCAGCAGACATGGCTATTACTTCAGATGGATGAATTTTACGAAGCTGAAAGCAAATATGAGCCAGACTGCTTTGGGATACAGGGGGGAAATAATAATAGTAATAAAAACCATCAATGATTACACTATTTATTTACTTTACTAGACATGCCCCAAAAATGTAGTCTCTATCTAAAAAGAATGCCAGGGTAGTTAAAAAATCTAGAAATTGAAGTTGAAAACAGATAAAAGTTTTGAAAAAGACTGAAAGAAACATTCACTGTACTTACTCAATGTGAAAAAATTAGGAATTTGCAAACACTTGAAATAAGAAGATAAAGGACAAGGGGGTACACAGCCAACCAAACAAAGGGTAGTATGAGCACATTATTTAAATGCTGTTAGGAACAAAAAGCATTCTACCAATGTATTATTAACTGATTGACAGAAAGGTAGAACTGCTAATCATAACGCAGAAATAGAGAACGTTTTAGTGTATTCAGATGAAATAGATTACTGATGACCTTGTTGGAGTGAAGAGTTTCACATGTGTGAAGTAGATCACACAGCATCTACTGAACACACACACACATCTATTTTTGAATCAGTAACTCCAGATAATTTGCAGCAGAGAGCTGCAAAAGAGGTTTCTGAAGAGTACCTTGGATGCTTCGTGTTAATTTTCAGTAACTCCTAGAACTCTGAGGAAGCCCCAAAACACTGAGCTGTCTCCGTGCCCAGTGTATGCACACACACACACACAAACGTACTATGGTTCCAGTGTTTAAAAAGATGAGTATTCACTGTAAGCCTGTCAGCTTGACATTGATCTGAATTCAAATAATGCAACAGATAATGTGGAACTTGAGTCAGAGTAAAATCAAAGAAAGGACTAATATCAATCAACTTGGTGTTATGGAAAAATAAATTCTGGAAAAACTAAATAAATGTCTTTCTTCATTGATGATGAGGCTGGTTCTGAAAGCTTATGCTGTTCACACAATGCAGAATTCAAAAAGGCAGCAGTCTTGGTGTTATTTTGATTAAGGAAACAGACTACAGAATCAACAATTAACACTGCCTAGAAAGGGCTTCAGAACTAATTGTAGATGAGCAACTATCAAATAGCTGTCTTTCTAAGAATTTGCCTTGCTTCTCTACTACTTAATATTTTTATGGACAGCCCAGAATAAAACATAAATAATGTTTTACACAATTACTGATTATTTTATTTTAAACAAATAAAATAATCTGTAAAAAATTTGTAGCTTACTCTACTTCTGAGAGAATAGCAAATAAATATAGAACAGCTCCTGATATAAGCTAACATTAATCTTTTTGGATAACAGCAAATCATATGTATCTTAAAATAGGCAGAATTACGGATATACATTTAGAAACAAAGAATGAAGGCTGTACTTACAGGACATGTAATACTGAGAATCTTAAATAACTTTTGATCATGGTAGATAACTAATTGAACACAAGTACTAGCAGAATGTTTTGGTCAGAGACTAAAACCATTTTTTGTCAAGAAGAAAAAAAAAGATTAAACAAAAAATAAATTATAAAAAAAAGATAGGTAGATTGAAATTAGATGAATTAGATGGCTTATTGTTCCTCTGCCCTGAAGCCCTTTGTCTCCTATTAGACTTTCACTGTGGTGCATCCACAAGGATGTTGATAAACAGCAGAAGTTTTAGGGAGCAAGAAGAAAGTTATAAAAAGATTAGAAAACATAAAAAGCCCGAAGGAGTTTCATTTACTTGTAATTTACATAAGAACATGCTAAGAGGTTATAGAACAAGTTAAGTCATGATCTGCATGAATACAGACAGAAGAACACAGTTGTAATTAGAACTTTAACCCATTACAGTAAAATGCAGCAACACCCTATGCTCAAGATTAAAACTCAATATACTTAATTTGGAAATAAAGTTCACATTTTAAAACCTACATTAAAACCTTAAAATTGTATGATTTTTCTGAAATGTAGCTTTAGTTCAAACAATTTTGATTCATACAAGTCTTATGATCTATAGAGGAAAAATATTCCATTCTGGCTATTATGAACCAGTGAATAATATTCTAACAAGACAAAAATTACATTTCTTCTCGTATTAGTTAACTACTTACTTCGACATGTTTTCCCATCTTGCCTTAGTACAAATCCATCATGGCATTGGCAAGTGTATGAATCATCATTATTAACACAAAGATGTTCACAGCCATGACTGACTGATTTGCAGATGTCTTTATCTAGGAATAATTTAGATTTTATTTACTAAAGTTTGATGAAAAAGAACATTTTCATAACTTCAAAGACTAACAGTAGTAATCTCATAATAAATAAAGAATTTATTCTCCTTTTTGCAAGGAAAAATCTCCTATAAGAAGAACTGCCTCTAAATAATATGTTTCTTCTGTAGATGTCTGAATATAAAACATATAGTAACATTAAAATAACTTACTTTTACATGTTTTCTTATCGTCCCTCAATACAAAACCCTCATAGCACTGGCAAAGGTATGAACTGTCAGTATTCACACAAATATGCTCACAGCCATGGTCAACAGAATTGCAAACATCCTTATCTGTTAAAAAATAAAATTGCCATATTTAAAATATATCTACAAATGTGCAGATTATAAAGAAAATCTGCTAAAGAGAAGTATACTTACTTCTACATGTTCTTCCATCTTCCCTTAGTGCAAATCCCTCATAACACTGGCAGATGTAGGACTCATCAGCATTAACACAAACATGTTCACAGCCATGGTGAACTGAACTGCAAACATCTTTATCTGAGAACAGTTGATGGTATTTGGTTAAAACACATCTATAGCACATGTATCATGAAGGGAGAAGTAACAGCTTTCATTAGGTCTACTGATACCACTGGAATCAATAGGTTAAATTTTAGGCAGCAAATACTTTTACCTCTTGGTACCTGAACATTTTTGAGTATTTTCTGTTTCCAGTCTGTCAGTTGATCTATTAAAATATACTATTTTTGTCCAGAGAGTCTCTTACAAGCATTGGAAGGTCTAAATATATTCCTATATCAAATTTATGAAGACGACTACTTTATTGCGACACTAAATTGTATTTGTTTGTTTGCTTCTCAGATCTACATACTGTAAATAAAATTCTATGAGTAATTCTCAGAGTACTTACTTCTGCATGTTTTCCCATCTTCTCTCAGCAGAAAACCCTCATGACACTTGCAAACATAGGAGTCACCTTCATTAACACAAATATGCTCACAGCCATGGCTGACTGATTTGCAGATGTCCTGTCCTGGGAATGATTGATTTAAATGTAGGTTTTGAATGAAAACATGTTAGAGAAATGTAGCTATCAAAAGGAAGTCTGTTACTTCTTTTCCAGTGAGAAGTGAAAAACACCCCTTTCCTTCCTTGCCTGATGTACATGCAAAAGTGTTCAATAGATACCAGTCACTCACTTCTGCAGGTCTTGCCATCTTCTCTCAGTATGAATCCCTCACGACACTTGCAGATGTAGGAATTGTCAGCATTAACACAAACGTGCTCACAGCCATGGTTGACTGACTTGCAGATATTTTTACCTGGGAATAATTTCATATATAAAAAATTCTGTTACTTAAGGGCAGTATGTTCAAAGTTAACTTGCTTTTAGTGTATGTATCCTAACTTTTTGAGACAGGCATAATTTGTCTGTTTGCACAGAATAACAAGAGGGTGATGCTGTGAAACACCAGCTAAGAATAAGAACCTTTTCATTCACCATGGTAATATCTGGATGCCTTTAATTTTTTTTTTCTGTAAACACCTTTTAACAGCAGATGTTAATACTAAATATTATGGAGACTGCAGTACAAAATACTGAATGCCTGTGAGTTTTTCCAAGACTTATCCATGATTCTTCTTTGATCATGGTGATTTATACTATACAAGTTGAGAAAAATTTGCTATTAGTCTTTTTTCTTGATATCTGCCACTCATAACTGTGTAATGTAGTCAAATTTGTAACACAATTATGACATTTCTGTTGCCATCATCCTTATCCTATGCTGGACAAAATGAACCTTCCATTTATAATGTTGCAAGCTTCATGCTGGCTAAGACTTTATAAACTTCATATATTTTTGTCTTGAAATTTTAGAAGAAAATCAAAGTTGTCCCAGCTCTGGATAGTTTTGGATCCACAGCTATCCAATTTCAGGGCTACTTTTTAAATGGCACAGATGTTCAGGGTTTGATTCAGGTGACCAAAAGTATGCATTCAGTACCATTTTAGATACCTTAGCATATCCAAGATATCAGCATACTGCTGGCAAATACAACACCAAAGGGGAAATTTGGCCTCTTGAAAGTCTTGAACATATAAAATTGCATTTGACTGCAACATTTAGGCAATCCAATCTTACCTTACAGATTTCTTCTATGTGTGTCATATTAGACTCTGAGTTGCTGAATAATAACTTACGTTTACATGTTTTCCCATCGTTACGAAGCCTGTATCCTTCAAAACACTGACAAGTATAAGATCTGTCACCATTTACACACAAATGTTCACAGCCATGATCACTTAGAGCACAATGGTCAACTCCTGTAGGAGCAATCAAAATTATAAAAAAATTTAACCAATAATGACTCAATTATTTTTCATCTTAGTATTTGCATTCTGTATAAACAAGTAAATATAAATATCTTGAACTGCGTAAACAGTAATTCAGTTTCTCATCTGGTTATAAAGCTTCAGTAAAATGTAAGAGAGCCTAGTGAGGTCCTAGAGGTCCTATATTTAATTTTTTTCTTTAAGCAGAGTTGAGAAATCATACTTTTCTGTGCTTAACATAGCTAAACAGAGTCCATGTCTGAATTGGATTAAAATGTATTAAAACAAAACAAAATACTTTGGCAATGATTTTCTACAAGACGCTGGCAAAGACACAAAAGCTACCTTGTGAACATTCTTTAAATAGTCTCTAAATGGCCTGAAGTGAAGGTGGCAGTCCCCAGAACTCATTTGTGGACCTGACCCAGTTCCTGTGGCAGCAAGAAGAAAACCTCTCAGATGTCAGTGGGACTTGGCTTGGACTATTCAAGATTTTACAAAGAATTGCAAATGACAAGTACTGTCAAATACAGTCCACTTTATCTCAAGTTTCCCAAGTGTGTCTCCTCTGTCATATAAAGACATAGGGCTCCTGAGACTTTGCAAGCAGGACTTGCTACTGTCTATTGGCTACAACACATTTTTTTGTAATGAGTTGTCAGAGTACAGATTTGGTCACAGTTCAGGTGTTCCCATAGCTTTCTTAGGATCCTTGAGCCAGTGTACATCATACTAGAATGTCCCAGATGTTTTCTCACTAGGACTGGTACATGTTAAATGCTAATCCCTTCCGTTCAACTTATCAGGAACTTGCAAAGTTCCAAAACTCTCTTTGTGGTAGCCTGAAAATGTTCATGAGGTTTCAACATCTGATCTAGAGCTCAGGAATAGGACAAATCTTTCCTAAATATATGTGAGGACAGGGTTATGAGAAGAGGAGCTATTCAAAAAAAGCTCAGTTTCACTGCACTCAGCACCATTTTCACAGAATCATAGAACACCCTGATTTAGAAGGGACTTACTAGGACCAATCAAAGTCATACTACTGGCCTTGCACAGGACAACCCCAAAACTCACACCATCTGCCTGAGAATGTGGTCCAAATGCTTCTTGAACTCTGCTGCTTATGGGTTTCCAAGTACAGCCTGGAGGAAAATAACTCAGGAATGAAAAATCATCTCTTGTTACTACTAAGGAAAAGGGATTTTCCATTTGCAAGTTGATTAAATGCCAGTATTTGGGTGTTTCCAGATTGCCAGTGGTACTATGGATAAATATCTAAAAAAATTGTTTTTAGTAGACTCTACTGTTCATACATGTACACTAATTATACTTCTGCGTTACTGTCTGTCCCTTTCTAGAGTGCTGCAGTGGCAGACAGAAGCAAAGTCTGTCAAGGTATCAGATGGGGCTAAAAAGGTTAGTATGGAGACAAACAAGGATAAATACAAAGGCAAATTGCCTTTGCTGATTTGCCTCACTTCTCTCTAGATAATTTTTGTGACTGAGGACTTGCAGTTTGAGTTTTCTTAAAACTTTGTGCCTGAAAGCAAGAAAAAGGCTGAACTCTGGAGCTGCTCCAACATTATACAAGCTTGAAAAATAATGTACCCCCAAAATCTGGAAAAAGTGGACAGAACACTCTCACCAAAGAGGTCCATAGAAAGTCAACAGGTAAAATGCACTCATACTCTTCTTCTGGCCCTTTCTATACATTATTTTTCCAGTGAAGGAGGCAATTCAACTGTTTGTGAAGTTGTATCAACCCTCAATGATCATTAGATTTATAAAGAGCAGAGAGCTGCCAGGACAACTGCTCACTTACAAGGATTCCCATGCTTAATGTAAAGCTCTGTGTGGAGCTCTCAGTTCTCCCCCTGCCTCAGGTAATGTGGGGCACTTTGCCCTGGGGACACTCCTGTCCAGATGACCTGTCAGACACGTGTCATGTGACTGAGAAACTGTCCTTAACACCTGGGGATGAATAGGTCTTCAAAACCTTTTCTGAATATGTGAGGACTAACAGTTATCTTGACATGTATTCTTTCATAAATACTTTCTCTGTTTCTGCTTTCAAATAATTACTAAAGTATTACTGAAATGCAGACTGTAAGAATAATTTGAAGGGCAGTCCTTTTCCCTGTATGAAAACAGAAACCTTTCCCAAGGGAGCTGAAATAAAAGATGTTCTTGCAAGACTCACGTGTGCAGGTTTTTAGGTCCTCATTGATGACAAATCCTTCAGAGCACTGACAGACATAGGAGTCACCTGTATTTAGGCACAGTTGCTCGCAGCCATGATTGCTTTCAGCACAGTGGTCCACTCCTATTGATTTGTGTTAATGATTGAAGAAATCACATTGGTGTTTTAGATACATAAATTATGACACTGTAGTTAGTACATGTTGCCTTTGTAAAGCAAAAGATCAGTACTGCTTTTTACTTACGCAAGTATCCCCACCTGCTTGAGTAACCTGAGTTAATTAACACCTAAGTGAAATTAATACAACAACCCCACTTGGCATATAGCAAACTTGGTGAAGATTTCCTTTGCCAAAAATCACAATGTGATTGGACTAACACAAAGTGGAGAGAAGGGAGAATCCTTAAGCCCAGTTTGGTCTCACCCATAGAATCATGCTTCCCTTCTTTAAAAAGCAGGACTCTCACTTCCATTCAGCATTAAATTTTTGCATTACTCACTCAAATATGAGTATTAGTCATTTTTTTAATAGAAATTATGGCTTCCAGATTGTTTCAGAAAGATTAAATTCTTTTTTCAACAGGATGAGAAATCACCATTTTAAAACTTTTACCTGCCAAAGGGTTCAAGTAGTTAAAGCCTCGTGGAGGACAGACAGAAATGACAAGTGTGAGAGTGTCTTAACATGTTCCATTTCTTTGATTTTCCTATGCCTATTCCAAGTAAGATAAAATGGAATATGTCTTTTAAGTCTTGTATGCAACTAGTTGTGTGAAAGAGAAAAGGTGGGGGAAGGGAGAGAGGTGTGAACTAGGTTTAAAAAAACACATTTCCTCACAATGGACAGCAAAGCTGTGAGATACGTGCACTTGCACATGTACTGTGGAATTTGCTGACTCTGTGAGTATAGGAAAAGGACATTTTTAGGAAAAAAGCTTTGAACTTCCTCACTGTGTTTTACTGCTGGTTTGTTAATGGCTAGTTTTAGTTCTATAGCCCAAATCATTTTATCTTAACTTGATCAAAAGTAGTGGAGTTCCCTCAGACACAAAGTCTCGCATGTCTCTTTTGCAAATCATTTACAGATGTGAGCAGACATGTCTGCAGCAATTTGTTTAGATTAAAAAAAAATCTGTACTTAACGTTAAATCACTTATTCTAAATATTTCTGTTTATTGGTTTATTTAACTAAGCAACGAGTTTGCAGTAATTGGTCCAGATTTACCATTATACACAGGGAGACAACGTAGGTTTGAACAAATGAAGCTGAGGTGTCAGTTTTTACTAGCTAAAGCAAGCTCCAGCTGGAACCTTCTCCTTTTTCCAAGAGTTCACATCATCATGAAGAGGCTTGTGTAACTTCTCAGAGCACACAAAAAATGTGGAAACAAAAAAAAAAAGAAAATACCCATATTCTCTGTGAAGAATTACATCTGTTTGGCTCCATCTTTTCAATACAAACACCCACACCAACATGAATTTTTAATGTTTAAATATTTGGGGCTCTCATGCAGAATTTTGTAACACACTCTTTCAAAGAGTGCAATAATCACAAGTAAAGGTGCTATTTACCAGGCTTTGGAAATCATTATAACTGTAAATTTTATAATCATATGTGCTTTATTGCATGTGTAAAAAAAAAATACAAGCAGGTGAAAGGACTGGGGGAGGCTCACAATTTTTACAAAGAAGGAATGTCTTACAATATATTAATTTTTAGAAATTCAACTTGAGATAGTTTAAAACTATAATTGTCAAAATGTTGCAACTCATCTAGGTTACCTTAAATATGGCTTTATCACATTTTATTTAAAAATTATTATTCCCTTTCCTACCAAGTTTTTTAAAAATTTCAGTGACTGAGTATTCCTTTGGAAATGTATGTTGTAAGTCCATCGGGAAAAAATGCTGCCAATATTTTAGGTGATATGCAAAACGGTTCTCTGCAATAAAACTATCTTCTAAAACTGGGTGATGCCAAGTGGGCACCCAGTTTTCTGGGGCAACACCAATCCTTCATTTCACAACATTCTTCTGAAAAAGGACACTTCATTGAATGGATCACTGAAGCTGTAAACATACAGAAGAGATGGGTCTCTTCATATCCCCACATATCAGTATACAGCAGCATGAGGTGTGCAGGTTACACAGCCCATGGCAATGAAAAGGATGTTCAGTAGCAAGCACTGCCTTCGTGTTAGGCAGTGCTTTTAAGTGAACACATTTCCTCAGTTATTTGGACTGGAGAAAGTGATGCTTTAGCTCTCTATAGACCAGGGATCTCACTATAGCATTACTTCACTAGGCCTGGCTTGTGGTGGACTTTGCAGTAACATAGGTTTGCATGACTCAGAAATATCTCAAAAGGGACCAGGAATGTTTTCTCACTCTGCTCACACTTCTGCCTTGCAGCAAACTAGTCACTGCAGTTTATGAGACACACTCATTGCTGCACGTATCACCATGGTGCTCTTGGGTGTATCTGGGATGACATTTGCACACAAACGACTCTTCCATGTTAACACATTCAAGTTCACAGTCGTGCTGACCTAAAGCACAGAAGTTGACTTCCATGGAGAGAAAAACTGAAGCCGGCCACAAGGTCTTCTAAAGTAAAACAGCTTAGAAAAACTCACTTTTCTTAAACAATACTGGATTTTGTGCTTTGGACACCTAGCTGACAGTGAGAGGAAGATCTGAGAGCAGACTGCAAACACTCAGCTGTGTAAGGCTTCGCTTTGACCCCCACAGATCTCCTGTAGTCATCAGAAGTCACACATGGTGGTCACAGAGGAATGTCTACTGCTTATCACACTCACCTATTGTCCCTGATTTCTAAAAAAAGCATATATGCAAACATTCTGCTTTATTTTACAAGCTTAGCTAACATGACCCTTGTTAAAGCAAGATTTGGAATAGGAGCCTAATCCTGGAAACATCACCAGATCTGCAGCCAAATCCAAAACCTCATAAGGAAAAGTACTCCAAGCGGGAATTACAATTTGCCTTTAATTTGCAATTGCATTCTTGGCAATAAATACTTTATACAATGCTGTTCTTTTGCTCACCAAGGCTATTGAATCTATAAAAACCTGAATGTATTAAATAGCATATAGATAATAAAAAGCAGAACAGCATGGATTACTGCAAAAACATCACTGTGCAGACAAAAATGCTTTTGTATCTTTAAGACTGAACAAAAATACAGTTTCAAAACCAGATACATTTTATGAGTTTCTAGAAATAGAATTAGACTGCTCCAAACAAGTTTATTACAAATAAACTATCAATAACAATTTTCTCCCCCCAACAGCTCAGTCACGAGATCCGCTATTTAATTTTGCTATTTAGGGAGAATATATTCTCCCTAAACTTTAACACACTACATTAAAAATCTTCTGTGATTTCAGGCCTTCACTCAGGAAGAGCTAAAACACTAAGTCTTTCTAAAGTAAATAGCATGAGTGATTGGTTTATAACACTGACATTGCTCATGCTGCTCTTACAATATTTTTAGGAAACTGTGAAGTTTCATGTGTGACCCTAAGTTGATTTTGATAGCTGTGTTGTCTGTTCAATACATTTCCAAGCTGATGAAATGTATCTGACCTTGGCTAAACCAACTGGGTAAAACAAGGTGATTTTTTGTGATTTTTTTTTTTAATTTCAAAGCTGCTTGTGTCTTTACAAGCCAAGGCCAGAAAGTTTCAAATAAGTAATGAATTTTTTTTAAAGTAATTTTGGTTCCTATATTAATCCTCAGGTTTTCATAAAAGTCTTCCAAAATGTCTAATATACAAAGTAATCTACGAAACAGAGAAATGTATATTTTCCCAGCATGATTCATTCAGTTAAAATTTAAGTTTATAAAGAAACATTTGTTTCAACCTTAATTACAGAGAAAACTTCCATCCTTTCAGAAGGGAAACAATTCACAGCAGGTTCTAGAAATAAAAGCAGATGAACTTTATTATGTCCAAAGAATTACTCACTTTTGCATGTTTTCTTATCTGGATTAAGTCTAAACCCTTCTTGGCATTGACAAAAATAGGAATCATCTTTTCTTTTGCCTTTTTTCCCTTAGGCACCATTTTGGTGTTTTACCATATTGTTTCAAACCATGAAAATAAAATGTTTATTTTTTTCCAAATATCTGCTATACTGATGTACAGCTGACATATTAGACTTATTAATTATTAATTAATTAATTAATAATTAATATTAATTAGACTTATTAGAGAACAGAAACAGTTCATGCAGTAGAGAAGTTAGAATCTTAAATATTTCTTAACATTTTGCAGCAAAGCTTTATACACTTCCTCATCAAAATTACCTCTATTCACTCAGAGCATGTTAGACGTGACGAGCAATAAACACACAAACACGTTTTTGAATGCTGTTCATTAGATCACAGCAGGACAAACAGGTCATCAGGAGTGTGGACGTTTTTAACAGCTCTGAGTGCTCGCTTCACAATTCTTCCATTTGAAATGCCCATGGAAGAGAAGATGGGCAGTCTAGAAACAGCTACCAGTTGTGGAAAAAGTACCTTAGAAAGGAAAGCAATTGTGCACTGAGCACTGAGATATTTCCCATATAGAGTTTATTATTATTGGTGTAGTCAACGAACCTGATCCTCACTTGGATGCAGTGTCTGCCCATCACTTAGTTTTGTGTCGGTGTAGTTAACTTATATTAGTGAAAAATACTCCTAATCCCTCAGCACTGCTAAAAGTAGATAAACAAGTCACAAATTACATAAATCATGCTTCAAAAAATATCCAGGCACTTTTGAACACCTCATTATACAACCTGAAAACTCAGGGGGCTTTATTATTCCCTGAAGATAATTAATTACTATTCCCAGAGGTGATTTGCTTTCAGAGGCATGGACAGTTCTTTCTTTGGGTTTCTGGCAGATTAATGGAATTGAGTCCTTATATATGATGAAAGCCCTTTGTGGTAATAAACCAGTTGTATTTTAAGAACAATCCAAATGGAATATGACTTTCTTAGAAAACTCGGAAGGACTATGTCATAATTTATGAACACCACTCTGTATATTAATTAACATTGATAACATTAATTAACATTTCCTTAACCAAAGCTTTTTTCTGACAGCATATGCACATACATATATATATATATATAACATGGAGGTATCTATTTACTAAAATAAAAATTAGAAAATATATTTTGTTCAAGAGGGCACTGAAAAGATAGAACCCATAAAGCCACATGTGTGCACCAGAGGAATACAGCTGTATGCTTTCTGGAGCTACTCAGTGCTGTGGGGCATTTACCTGCTCAAATCCTTGCTCACTTAAGAGTGCAGGAGAGACTTTTCCTGGATAACTGATTCTGGAGATGACCAAAAGGGTTAAAAAATATGTATTATCTTTGTTCAAACCTTGAGGCTATTCTGTTTGGGGCACTAAAGACACATTTTACAAGGCTTCATTAACACAGCCCAGATTAAGGTTGTTAACAGAGCCTTGCCCAGCTACAAATTACATGAACACAGAACTCAAATGGGCCTTCAGTAAAGAACAGCAGCTGAGGCTCAGCAATGCCCAGTACAAGCAGAAGCTGTCCTCTTGGGGGGAGCAGCAAGAGTGGCAGGAGTCTCCTTAATAGTAGCTTGAATGTCCTCCACCTGCCTCACTGATAAAGCAAATTTGCTCTTCCAGCCATAGAGCATTCTGGTGGTATTGGCAAGGTTGCTTTCATGAGCACTGCTCCTTGTGTTTCATTTTAAGAACTTCGGAGTAGTTCCCAGAGAAAACATTTGTTAGATATGCATGACCATACTGACAACACTTATATTTCCAAACATTTCTTTGTAGCCATGAGCATAAAGGCTTACTTTCTATTTTTGTAAGGGAAGTCAGGATTCTGAGACAATCATGAGATCTCAGGAGTGGGTGCCTCAAGACTACTTGCTGACGGAGAGAACTGGTCTGGCATGGTTGTGAGTCTTGACTAGTTGGCCATCATTACTGAGACTCAGTACATGAGTCAAATATGTAGAAATTTATGTTAAAAGTTTGAAAGTCACAAACATTTTAAATCCAGTGATCTGTAGTTTGTTTGTTTGCATTGTTTATGCAGACTCAAACACAGTGTGATTCATAACTAGGGGACACTTTTGCTCTGAAGAGCTCTCATGTTGTTTTGACTTTTGCAGCATTAAGAGCTACAGTTCTTTCACTCATGCTTTGATTTATCAGCAAGGCTCAGAGGATATAAAGTGTTAGGAATAGTGGCTTAGCAAGTCTTATTTGTGCTTACTTATGCCCAATATAAGCAACAGATAGAGGACAGAGACAGGTCAAACCTGAAATACTACTTTCCCAAAATATTCCCTCAAATGTCAACATTCTGTGAATCATCAGTTTAAACATGTAAAAATAACGCATACCACTGGGCCATAAACTAAAAACCAGTCAAGGCAAAATGTTTATGCAGTTTTAAGGACTTTCTTCAGTTCAAACTGGAGGAGAAAACACTGCTTAAAATCCGCATTTGTAAATCAAATAAATTAATAAAAACCTGTGCTTAGGCAGTGGAACGCACACTAATATTTCGAAAATATATGGATGTGGAAGTATATGTGGAAGTAAAATTAGCCAGCCCTTAGCTGACAGATACTTGACAAATGGGAATGTTAATACAATCTACAAAGGATGTTAATCACTACAAATACTCTGGCCCTCGAGAAGCAGAAATTTCATCTCTCCTGACTCTGATAATCTAAAAATTATGTGTCCAGTCTGGCAAGTCATCCAGACCCCCTATATATTCAAGGAAAATACAGGCATTCCACAAATTTGTGCCAGAACTGGGAGCAATCATCTTTGAGTAGTGTATGTCTCCTCCCCTTGATGGAAAGAACACATGTACAGCCTGGATTACATGTTTTCTTCCTAAATGTTAAATTTAAGTAGAATAGATATCAAGCATAATACACAATATAGATACAGCCTATAGGCTAACCAAGTCTCTCACCAGAAGGACTGAAATGCCCCTCAGACTGGGAAACCACAGAAATGCAGTGCTATATTGATGCATTTTTTCAGAAATAATGTTTGAACATATTGTTCAATGATATGGGCTGAATTCACCACTGGCAGCAGCAATCATCTAAAACTAATGGAGCTTTCCTGCTTACAGGCACAATAGTAATATTTCTTTATAAAAGCCCTCAGTTATGAAGAAAGGTAACTAGGAAGGTACATTAAGGTTTTCCCTTGACATTTCCTAAAAAGAGGCATGACATTAAACACCCTGGAGCTTCTAGCTTGTTTTCCCAATTATGGGAGGCCTTGGCATGAATATTTTCTGGTCTGTCAGATCCCCTCCACTTCATGTCCATTCCTAACTCTAGTAATTTTTGATCTTTTTAGCCTGGTATCAAATTTGACAAACAAGCAAAGCCATGAAGTTATTATAAGCTGGTGGTAACATGGAAGTCTGGTAGAAGATACTGATACTGCCAGAGCTTTGTCACACTATCAGAGAACTCACTCTGAAGAAAAATCCACAGAAAAACTGACTGCAATGTTTCCTCTGATTGGGAAACTACTCATTATTTTAGATCATCTTGCAAAGCAACTGATTATAAATTGTCTTGCACAGACTTGCTAGTTTACTCAGCTAGGGAGATAACATTCTAACTGAAAAAAAAAAAAAAGAATAATCAAAGAGAAATCCAAGGCAAAGCTTTCACTTTTTGCTGCTGAAAAGTAGTTTTGTTTAATGTTAAAAGCTTCCTGTTCATAGAAGGGACCCTCACCCTTAGGCCCTCCCTCATAAACAACTTGCTTTGCTTTCAAGACCTTTGGCTTCCAGGCCACTCCACCATTTTCTATACCTGATGTATTAGTCAGCATTCCCAGGACCAGTGGGGGGATTATTGCTGAGAGCTGGAAGACAGAAGAAGTGCAAACTGCTCATAATTAAACATTATCACTACTTACTTCCACAAGTTCTTTTGTCTGGATTTAAAATGAACCCTGGGTGGCATCTACAATAATAGGAGTCCTCTGTGTTAACACATTCATGTTGGCAACCATGGTTATCCAAAGCACAGTAGTCTACAACTGAAAAAGAACAAGACCAACATGTGCAATTAGGAAAATATATCAGAACTATCATGCATAGTTATTATGGTTCTAGTGACACACAGTAACTATAAAAAAAGGAAAAGCTGATGTAATTTCTGTCCTGAAAAGCCTGTCTGCAAAAAGTAGCCCATGTACAATACCAGTCGGTAAATCAGATCTTAAATGAGTCCTCAATCATTTCTCAACTTTGAACATTTATCAGCTCTCAGATTGTCAGGAGCCTTCTCAACATGTTTTCTCAGATTTGGAAACCATGCCTCAGTGAGAAACTCTGTCCAGATGTTCACACTGTAGGCCAGGGCATAGCAAAGTTTGTTTGATTTAATTCTGTCTTCTGTCTTTCAAGTCCCAGTTCTGGAGTTACTCTACTTTTCCTTACTTCCCTCCCAGCTGTATTAATTCATAAGAGCTGTTCCTGTAGCCTGTACTCAGGCTACTATAGGAGAATCCTGCCATTATCTTCTGCACTGAGGACTGTCACAGTACATTCATTCCCTCTAATGTGCTCCAGATTTGTTCTGTACAAAGCAACTACAACTGCAAAGTCTGAGAGCTTCAGACTGATATTTACCACAGATATTTTGCTTCTACAATGCCTTTTGAAAGAAAAAAAAAATCACAGATGTTTTTCACTTCACTTTTCATAAGTCCGGTCATTTATTACACAAATCCATATTTAAAAGTTAGATTTCCAAAGAGTAATAAAGTAATACTTCAGAGTTTACTCTGTCAAGCCCATTCAAAGTTGCTAAAGAAATTGAAGGGTTTTAAAAATTTCTTTGCAGGTTAAGCTTCATCTTCACAACAAAAGTCTTAGAAGAAATTAAAGTCCCAAAGCTGGTGCTCTGCCTGCAAAGAGCTACCAGGTCTATATTAGGAAAGTATACCTGATTCTTTTTGCAGAAGACAGTAATGTGCTTAGCTTCATACCAAGACAGGTTCCTCTTTGACAACTGAGTAAATTTTTTCACTACTTTATACTGCTGAGCCTCACAAATTTCTTTAAGACACAGTAATTTGTTTTAATTAAATCAATTCCTTCTTCAGTTGTCCCACCTATGTAAATCATGCAGACTCAGGTGTGCTACTATATAAGTAAAGATCATCTGGTCAGGAAAGCAGACAATCTATTCAGTTACTCTGAAAGAGTAACCCTTTTAACCCTTCAGAATATTAGTGTTGAATCAAGTAAAGAAACTTACTGGCTATCATTTTCCTGGCATGAACCTTCCAGTTTCCAGACTGAATCGATTCATATTAAAACCTATTTACAGAATATATGTTTCAAGGATATAATGTGTCATACAATTCACTTTCCTCTTCAATCAATTCTAACCACAAGCACATTTTCAAGTGTTTAAAAGACACATTAAGAAATAGGTAGGCCAAAGAATATATGTTATTTAGCATCATGCCTGGGAAATAACCCATACGGATGTCTTTATAAAGCCACCTCCTCCCTGCATTTAAAACTTAACAGAATTAATTTCTACTGCAATACCTACAACTGCCCAACTGATGGTACACAGTGAGAACAGAGTATTCAGTAGGAAAAGACACACAATGACCATTTAGTCCAACTGCCTGACCAGTTCAGGGTTGGCTTTGTTCAAATGCCTCTTACACACTGACAGATTTGGAACATCCACCTCCTGTAGAAAACCTGTTCCAGTGTTTGGCTATACTTTTGGTAAAGAAATGCTTCCTAATGTCCAGTCCAAACCTTGCCTGGCACAGCTTTGAACCATTCCCTCATATGCTATCACTGGGAGAAGAGCATATTTCTGTGCTGAGTTATGAGATATACATGAGAATGTGAAAACTTGAGATTTCACTGTTTTGAATTTTATCTCATGTCTATTTCAATAAGAATTTTTTCTAAATGATTTATTAGTGTCCTTTTTAGTGAGCAAACAATTAATTATTATTCAGTTGTCATCTCTGCATATTTGTTCCACCTTGTTTTTCTCACTTGGTATGAGTTAGTAAGTTATGAGAACTATTTTTTACTTTCAGTTACCAGTTCTGCACTCCAGGTGCTTACATTGCCCTCTCTGAACCATGGACTGCATCAGTCACCTTTCTCATAAGGGGTTGTTTTAGCCCTATGATGTTTATAGAGGTTATTCAGTCTTGGGAAGATGAAGGAAGTTAAGGAGAAGGGTAGGAGAAAAAGGTATAAAATAAGTAAAGGCATAAGGAGAATGAAAAAAGAATGTGAGGGAAGAACAAAGCAGACTCATGGAAGACTCCTAAGAACCTAAGAAACAGCCAAAAAATCCAGCAGTGCCAGGACTGCAGAGAGGTGGCCAGCAGCCAAACTGCTGCCAGGAAAGGAGGATCCAAGCCTAGCAGCTGCAGCAAGATGGAGACAGTCTAGCACTTGAAAAAAGGCAAAGTGATAGTGCCCTGCCAGCCAGATTTACTGCTGAGCAGACAGTTTCAAGCGTTGTTCAGCCTACAAATTCGTTCATAAACTGTGCATTGCAAACACTCAGAGTGGTTGGTTGAATGGATACATTGTGAGTTCTGGCTGTGAGATTTCATATAATTATTGCCATTCAGGTAACTGGCTGGCACATGTCAATAAAGCAATTAGTATCACCACTCATCCTTAAATTAGCCCGTCAGAAAAATTTAATAAACATGCCTGTGAAATGAAGTTTCAGCACTTTCTCATTTGCTTGTGCTGGAGTTACTTTAGAAGTCTTAGATACCTTAGATGGAAACTTTTGACTCCTTCCAAGAATATCACAATGTGTATTTCCTACTGAAATTCTCTTTTCATTCTCTGAAAGGGGAGGAGCAACTAACCTTAATGAAGTCCCTGTTTTTTGCAAAATTGTTATTGTTCTCACTGATCTCAAGCACATGTGTACATCAACATCTTCCTTCTCATCCTGCTCATTCGATAATAAATATTTCACAGAAAGGAAGGGTTAACTAGCTTAGGAGTAATGAAAACTGAGAGTTGTCACTACTGATTCAATACTAAATATAGTCTCCTCAAAAGTTTTTTCAGCAAGGATGATTATTCACTGGTGATCACATCTGCAGAAGCTGTACCTCTTAGTAGCAGCATATTCCTCAAAAATCTCAAACCGTTCAAACCGGAAAAGTCAAAGTCTGGAGGCTGACAATAGGATTTGCAGACAAATTAGCATCATTTTCATAAATTAACCAGACCAGCTTTTCCTGTTCAAGAAATGTAGAGAAACTAGATTTCTGCATGGATGAAATATAATTAATATACATTGAACCATTCTTGTACATCAGTAAGAAATTTAAAAGTTAAGTGGTCAAGTATCCAGCTGCAAAAGAAAACTAAGAAATGTAAATATTAATAATGTGCTTTAAAATCCCTATTAATACTGCTAATTATTAATACTAATATTATTAATACTGCTAATTATTACATTATGAACAGCATGTATTCATGTTTTGAAAGGTACAAATGAATAGAAATCAAGTGTAGAAGAAGAACTGCTATAAAATTCAAGATAGTGAACCCATGCACGCTGTATTTTGAAAATAACTGAAGAGAGAATATAATATCTTTAAATGTCAACAACAGCACTTTTAATAAATGTGTATCTCTTCAAGCCAAAGAGAGTCAGTGAGGAGGTATGTCACTAAAGGACATGAAATGATTCACACAACCACACTCAGTGTCAGAACAAAAACCTGTGACTTTATTCTCTGACTCCAGTATTTATAGATTCTTGACAATGACCAGGGATTGGATAATTAAGTTATCACCTTCCCAAGCACACTGGTCGTGAGGAACGTCCATCAAAAGACTTTTCTTAGAAGGAATGTGATAAACAACTTACGTTTACAGGACTTTCATGGGAAAGTAACTAAAACTGTGAAAACATTATCAGAAGGCTTAATTTTCAGGGCAACAGAGGTAGAAAAAAGTCAAAGATCTATCACACCTCTAAACAGCACTCTCCACAGAATATGAAGACAAGTTATTAACAGGCAAAAAACCAAATACCAATGCAAGAAATTTAATAAATGGCACAGAAATATTTTGAAGCTTTAAATAGCAATAACAGACTCTGTATTTATTACAAAGGATAATATTAGACTTAACATACAAAGAATGTCACCAGAATGATGCCCTGGTAGCAACCTTCCTGGTAAGAATATCTTGGGCTGCCAAGGAACTTCAACTTAATAGAAAAGAGTAACAACACCTGACGACACTGAGCATGAAAATTTCGGATTGGAATATTTCGTAAGAAAGAATTGGGGGTGAAAGAATCTACCAACAGAAGTCACAGGTTTTCTGTCTCAGGATATAGTCAAATAAATAGCACAGAAGTATATCCTTTATCCTAATACAAGTAAAAGTCAAGAGGGTGAGCTAAGGTTATTAGATGAACATTAGATATAGAAATTTGAGCCAGAACATAAAAACTTGCCTAAATAACCAGTATTATCTACATTTTCAAAACAATTTGGCTTCAAAAAGCAGGTTCTTAAAATGGTATACAAGTGGCCAGATTATGCTGGAGACCATTAAAAACGCCTATACTGAAATCATGAAGCTACAAGTGAAGGAAACATTTCTGAAGAGTAAGCACAGAGTGAATATTCTTCAAGACCTCATGTTATACCGGGCATAAAAAAAACTCAAAACCTTGTTTGTGTGTCCTGTGTGAAGCTACATGCAGAAAGTTCCATAATTTGCCACCTATGCTGCATCTCAAAACAGAGTTATACTGCAAGCCAAAAGCTCTTTGAAGGTAAACAGAGAAAGAAATGTTAGAGCTGTCTTAAAATGACAAGAAAGAGTAGGATGTTGGAGAAAAGCATTGTGGCGGCCTGTGGCAGATTTGAGGCCAAGGATTCACTTGGATTCATTTCCACAGGACTTCAATTTGTGTTTGCACAAATTAAGCATGCATCTAAATTCTTGCCTGAAGAGAATATCTAACAAATAATGTAATTTTTTAATCCAGATCTCACTAAGGCTTTTTGCAGTGGAAACGAGAAGACAGTATTTTCTCAGAATGCAGCATGGGATGAAAAGTTTACAAGAGTAGGTAGATAAGCTTGTAAAAGAGATTATACTAGAAGCATTTACCACATATAAACAGGGAAGAAAAGTGAGGTACTTATAGAGTAATAGAAAGGGAAGTATGTTTTGTGCTAAAAAATTATTGTACCATATTTCCATACTCTCTCTTTTGAGCTGTAATTCTTGGAGCTGATATTTACTTCCATATTGCCCACAGTGAAAATGAAAGGAACATAGTGGATGGGTTCCTAAAGTGTCTAAATTTTCCTTAAAGTCATCCTTCCAAAAGGGGGTTGAAATCTCTCCTCACATCCCCAAAAGATCAAGTGAAAAAACATCAAGAAATTGTCCCCTTTCAAGTTTTTCTGTGCATAACTTCTGCCTGAAGAGAAGCTACCAAGTTCGTCCACCCTTGTTTTTTTAATGGCCACATTTGTCATGCCAGTATGTTGCTGGCCACCCACATGGATCTTGAATAAAACATCAGGTGTGTTGTTTCAAAATGGAAAATTATTTTCTGTGTGAAATTGGTTGGAACAATTTTCCCAAGACACCATTCATTATCAGTAAAGGCCTACAAACATGTTAATTATGTGTTCTTTTTCATCTACCACTTATAAAGGAGAACATCATTGTCTATGGCTAAAGTGGATATTCATTTATATTGAATTTTGCCTTGGTTTGTGTGAAGAGATAAATGTGAATTGCTGAATTCATACTCACCAACACAACTCTTTCCATCTGCATCAAGCTCATATCCTTCATAACACTGACAGACAAAGGACCCAGGTGTGTTCACACAAATCTGCTCACAGGCATGCTTCTCCACAGCACAAAGGTCCTGAGCTACAACACATAATTGCATGAGTATGAAATTCTTTGACCAACCTCAATGCACAGACTATAGATCAAAATAAATTTCAGGAAGGTATGGACAGCACTTTAGAGATGGGCTCATTTCAACACAGATCATGCCAATGTTCTGTCAAACACTGAAAGCCAAGAGGATCTGTCAATCAAAGCAGAGGCACTCATTCCTTCAGCTGAAGGCAAAGACTATTAATGGACCAATGGTGCCTAGTAGAATTGCTTGATGTATGTTTCCCTAAAATGTTCAAAGGGCATTCTTCAGGGATTTTTTTTTCTTAAAAAAAAGAGAAGTAGTTGCATTTATTTGTGTATTTTTGGGGGATTGTTTTTTGCATAACCAGATGAATGATGATGAGGTTGTAAAGGGAAAGAAAAGGAAAACAAACAGCAAAAAACTTGGGGATATTTAATTTCTGAGATTTAGAATTTTTCAGTTTCACGTAAAATGCCATAGCAAGTTGCCTCTCCCATGCAAAAGATCTCAAAAAAAATTACCATGACAAATGAGGTCAGTTCAGCACCTAGCCAAATAAAGCACACTGGGCTTTCTTTTCAGCAGACTAAAGCTTTATGAGAACCCCAAGTTTCCCCAGCGAAAGCTCTGGAAAGCAGAGTACTTTGTGTTGCTCAAAGACTGCTCAGCACATAATGGTCATTTACAGCTACAAAATAGGCTTTTGGAACATGTTTGAGGAAATCAGCCAAGCAAAAACAAATTTTCTTTTATAGCTGTCTGCTTCATATCAAGCGGCATGATGAACAGCATAAACAGTCGCTTAACTCTTTTGTTCCAGTGTAAACACCCACAAATAGATAATTTTCCAGCTTGTTTCAGCTACATTCCTCTTTTGTATTATTTTGTTTATTAATGTAAGATTTGAGCATCTCTAGAGAAGAATGGGAGAGATTAGTTAAACAAACAAATACAGTGTAATAAGTAAAGAACACCCATTATCTGACATAAACACTCTTCTCTAGAAAAGTTAGACCACAGTACACAAAAGGAGCATCCTTTCATGGATGCAAAACCATCATAAACAAATGTAAGAATATTTTAAGTTGAACAAACAAACCATTTCCCAGCCTGAAGCAAAGTTGTCAGTTCATTGCTGATTGAAGCCAGTTGGTTAAGGGCTTTAAAGAACTGAGTACTGATAGCATATACTCTCACAAGATTAGAAAAAAAGTGAACAGAAGAATAAAAACAGTCTAAGTTTAGGTACAAAAGAATGAAAAGAGACTTTAACATTAGGTACAGACCATTCATCTTTTCTGCACTGTTTAATTCAGAAAGTGTTACATTATGTATATAAGGAAATTATTTGTCCATGGAAGAGCTGACAAATACATCCAAACCTTAGATAAATACATCTGGTTTATGTTGATCATGTATTGTTCTTACCATAAACATGATGAAGATTTATTTTACTTAGATGCCAAGTGAGGAATGCACAGTCTCTGTGCAATTGTGGGTGAATAACAGCTAGTGAAGGTAACAAAAATACAGACTGTTCATTTTTCTTTCACTGTGGCTCCCCTACCTCCAGAACTAAGCTGTCCACTTTGTCCAGGCTTGGCTCCCTATCCTCATGAAATCTGTTACATCTCTGTGGGGGTTTTAGATGTAATGCTAGACTGATAGTGCATCATTTCTCTCCTACACCAATGATTTGCACCATCCTAGCACATTTAAGGCCAGTTTGATGACTTTCAGATTTCCAGTGCTAATTGCTGAAAGAAGTTTATCATCTGATTGATGATCAAAGCAGGTACACAATCAAAGAAAACATGTGAGAGGTAAATGGGGAAAACCGATAAAAATCATAGCAAAAAAGAACATAAAGCAATGCAGCAAAGGGCTTTGAAAAATGGTAGAGAGGGAGCATATTGAGGGCTGCTGTGCATGGGTCACCAGCAGGAAAATTACACACAATTCCAAAACTCTTGGAAATTTACCTGTATTTGAAGCAATGCAGTGCCCAAATGCTGAACTACTGACTGAGAAAGACTATGGAAATATAACAGAGTAAAAAGAAAAAGAGACAATAAAGAAAGAATTCTTCATACTTGTAACTAATTTTTTTTAAAATTGATTCACATACCTTCACTCTTTCATTGGTGCTTAGTAATTGATATTAAACACAGCTCTAATCAAGAGAGACTAAGAATCCACTAATCTCAAGACACCAGGTAGTTTTATGGCACTCTCCTGAGATACAGAACATCAAACACAATGATAGGATTTGAGCCTGCAGTCTTCACCTTAGGTCTAAATTATCGATTGTAAGGGTACATCCTTTGCTGTCATGATGACTGTTTCCTACAGTTTCCTGAAAGGATGTTTTCCAAAATTTTTTTTCTGGCTAAAATCAGTTTAGCAGCTTTCATTTGAATCCATGCACTTTCATTTGAATCTGTACACTGCTGTGTGATAAAAACTTAAATTTTTAGCAAGTACATTTTCCACAAGTAATTAAAGGCCGTGTTACATAATTTCTTTAAAATAAGGTGGATACAGAAATATACTTGGCATATCTGTCTAATGTAAATTGCTGTTAATTACTAGGAAACAAGGTTAAATGGAGTAATGAAATACTGATCACAAAGATTAAAATTAAAGTGAAATAAAGTTTGTTATTATAAACTATAAGCAAATTACTCAAAACCAAAAAAAGTCAACACTTTTAAAGAGAGGAATGAGAGCATAAGCAAGACTTCTGACACCATTCTTAGAAAGGTTGCAAACCCTGATATTTCCATCAGCAGTTAGAAAGAGCTGTTCAGAATGCCAGGTTATTTCAAAGTTTTCTAGCATGGGGTTTATTGCACCTTTCTGTACCATTCAGTACTGTTGCTAGCTGGACAAGTTAGTAAAGTATTTAAATTCACTTCATCTGAGATTATAAAATTATTTATTTGGTTGTTGTTTCATTGTTGACCTTGATATACCAAAACCATTTGAATGCAAATTCATACAGTTACAGTATATCTCTGCAGAGCTGTGTATAAAATTTAGCTTGATGTATTTCAGAAAGATTTTTAAAAACTTCACTTACACAAAGCAAGAAAAACTTCAACCTTTCTAGACACATTCTGATGATTATCATTAATTATATATTGACCTCAGTTCTTATGAGCCCAACAGAAAAGGTAAGTGATAATCACTTTTTGGGAGTACAAAAGAGAAAAGAAAAGAAAGGTAACATACTGCTGCAAGTCTTCTGGTCAGCATTCAGAATGTATCCTTGTTTACATCTGCACAGGTAGGAGCCAGGTGTGTTTATGCAGAAGTGATCACAGTGATGCTCAACTATACTGCACATATGAGGCACTGAAAGGAAAAAGGAAAACATTATTAGCTGCTGGTCTTGTCTACTTGTGATCACAACTGAAAAAAACTGGTGTAGAAAAGTTTAGTGACGTAACCTAGAAATTTCAAATTAAGTGTTGCTAGTAAAGATAAAAATGAAAGCTTAAAAAAAAATACACAATGGAGTATCTGAAAAGAACTAATTATTTGTTGGTCCTATGAAGACAATGAAACAAGCCTATTATAATCAACTTTAGAAAATAAATGAAATTTAAGTATAAGCTGATTTAGAGGACATTCAATTTCTTGCATGAAGGAAATCACCACACAGCACCCAATAATAAAGAATGACTAAAAAAACAACTTAATGAAGAGACTGTTTTGCTTACTTAGTTATTGATGCTGAGGAACATGCAAATAATACATGATGGCACTGAGGAGATGTATCTCCAAGATTCATTAAGCAGGAGCTGAGTTGCACTACCCTCCAGACAGTAAGTCTTTGTGAGTCTATTTTTGTTCTGTTTGTATTTTATGTCTCTAATAGCAAGTATTAAAATGCAGCAGAAATACAATGAAAGAGAAAAAGAATAGAAGCACATTCAGTCAAATTCATTGTTGAGCTATTTTTCTCCAAAACAGTATTTGGGGATTAAGAAATTGATGTTTCCTTTCCAATGCAGCATTGCTTGTAAGTAATCTCTATAATATATAGGTGAATTACTTGTCAGAGAACATTGTGTGGAAAATTACCTATTTTGCTCAACAGCAATTAGGGATTGATGTGTTCCTTAATGTTCCAGGTTGACAAAGCTCAAAATTTATGGAATAGATATTAACAGTAATCTTCTAGAAGCCACAACAGAAGCCTGCTAAATAACTCACTGTATTAGGTGTAATCCTTGTGGAAAAAAAACCCACAAGTGATTTTAAGATATATAGACTACATGTCTGCTCTTTGGAATGGTTACAAGAGTTAGGTATTTATTGCTGACACACAAACCACCACAATTCCCTAATCTCTTAATCAGTTTCTTGGATCTCATGAATTTTTCCCATAATAAAACTTCTCAAGTCCTTTTAATTATATGAACACAGACCTACTTTGACTTCTTGTCTTGTCATATTTCTGTCACTCTGAAAATGAAAGCATTCAACGACAGGAGTCCAAATAACTCAAGTTCTTTCTGAAAGTACATTGTTACTGTCTGTTACCAACCTCCCATCTACCACACAAGCAAAGTGTACATATTCTGAAGTGTTTCTGTTTCACCCATTTCAAAGCAGTGATACTCTGGTCATTAGACCGACTTCAGTGGTGGAGTCTGCCCTCTGAATGATTTCTGCAACCTCATCAGTTGCAGAAGGTGTTTAGTGATCACAGGAAGGGACTGATGTAATAGAAAGGGTGAGATCATAGTTAAGGAATCTGAACATAAACCTTGTTGTGAATTACATTTTATCTCTATATCACAGGGTCCTTATTTGATTTTGGGCAAGACAATAATATCAGTATCTTCAAGGAAACATCAGCCTTTACACTGTAACTGTTCAGGTAGAGCCATCTGAATCTGGATTTGCAAGAATGCAAAGATGGCTGTAGAGCTGTGAATAACATGTTCTGTAAGTCCAAAAATGTTAAATGCCTGAAAATCACACAGGGATTGCACTGAGTCAAATATTTAAAGTTATTGGGTGGTTTTGACAAACTTAACCCTGTTTCATCTACTATCTACTAATCTACTATCTACTATCTACTTTACAGGAATATAATAAGGTCTTTATTTGCCCCCAACTGCTCCATTCCAAGTTTCTTTCCAATCATCTTTCTCACACTTCATCTAATCTCCATCATCTTTCCTGGATTCTGTTCCCATCTCCATTGACATTTTTCTGAGTTTTCAACTCCTGTCTTATTCTTCATGCCTCTGATTGCTCAGGATACTCGTTGCTTATGTTTTACCTTGCTGACTAGTAATAAAAAGGGGTCCTTGGCTTCAACTGGTGTTTCTGATGTGCCCAAATCTTTAGCAGTCTGGGGCAGCAACTGTAGGGAACCTCTGACTTAATAGAATGGAACACATTCAGTTTACAGGGGTTCTTCTGATAATATATATAGGTCCTGGGTACTTAGTAGTCTCCCCTATCCAGTACTGAGTAGCAGTTAATTTGGCTTACTTTTTGTTTTCCCCACAGAGCTTCACAATTTGGCCATGGTTTTCTTTTGTCATCATAAGAACCATGAGGACACATTCTGACAGACATAAGGGTGATTCAGACACAAAGACAGATCAGGGGCCAAGGTCTTTTCCCACAGCACAAAGCCCAGCAGACAGCATTCCAGACGACTTGACCGGAGGGGCGCCTTCAATTGCTTTAGCAAAGAAACAAGGTGTCCAGATGTTCCACTCAGCTACAATGATACTGCCTCTGGGTCCACACCTGGGAGGACTTGAACTAACCACATTTCCTGGAGGAGTGAGTGGCTCTAGGAAGCAGAAACTATGATTGCTCTCCTGAAATTCAGCAAGCTGAGTGATGCTTCACAATCAAGAGCATATAAAATGTTTTGGATCCTATCTGCAATTTAGTACCTTATGTTGAAATCCATATGAATCTAACAGCTTAAACCCTCTGTTGAATCTGTGTCTGAGTTTTTAAACACATCTTAGGATCTCACTTTGAATTCTCAGCACAGCAAATCCTGTAGAGACATTCCCTGGGAGCAAGAGGCAACTGCTATCCTTGTCACCTCCACAGTCCTCCATCAGCAGTGGGGAGGTGGTTTTACTGAGGAACATGTGTTTGATTAAAAGTGAGCTAAAAAACTCTAGTACATTTATTGGAAACTGCCCAGTCAGAAAAAAAAAATCCAACCAAGTAAAGGGTATTTGTACTGGATTTGTTTCTAAAACACAATCTAAAAAATCAGCATTTGCTGTGCATTCTGTTTAAACTCCAAATCCATGATTAGTTTACTCTTTCTTGGTTTTTAAAATATATCCTCCTACGCCAGCTAATAATACAGCAAGGAAGAAATGGGAAAAAATCTATTATCTGATGAATGTCTGTGTTGGTGTTTTGTGCTGAGGCAGTTCAGCTGCTCTTTGAAACAATTTTGGAAAAGATCAAGCAAGGAAAATTCTCCAGACTATCCTTACAATAAGATGCAGCTCTTTTCTGGCAAAAGCATCCCAAGACATGAGTGACCATTTAATCTCACCACGCATTCTTTTTCTGGATTCTAATGAAAATGAATCAGCTTAATGTCAAATTTATATGAAATACTTTCATATTTATCTCAGGAAAAAATAAAAAACTCTACTAAGTACGCAGATTCAAATAAAATTAATTACAAATGCCATGATATTTACAAAAGATAATTCCTTAACAGGGAATTATAGATAGAAGTAATATCTCTGTTGTAAGTTAATACCTATTAAAATATTTACTTTATTGTATGAATGAATAATACCACTGTAACAGCTTTTCCTAACTTCATGTATTTAAAATAGATGGAATACATCTACATGGTTTCACTTCCAGTCACAAGGCATATACAGAAATGATTCTTTGCATAGAATTAATATGTAAGCTTTGGAAGAGGAAACCATGGACTCTCAAGAATATTTAAATAACTGAAAGACAGTTGAGCAGTTTAAAGTTTCACTACTAAGGGAGATCACATTTAAAATGAAGAGATGAAAAAACTTATCTAATATTCAAATATCAGAGATCATAAATTTATTGCTATTATGCAATAAACAGGAAAATCATGATATGTGTGTTTTCCTAACTGCTTATGACCATGAGCAATTAAATCGCATTTTATGGCACTTCGCAGTAACATGAGTTTTCCCCACACGTGACAGCTGCTCTGGATGTTGTTTGGCTAATCTGTCTTCAATACATATGTTCTAACAGATGAGGTTTCATGCAAAAAAAAAAGTTTAATTATAATGCATATTTTTTCTGTTTCACTTTCATCTATGTATTCAAATCTATAGATAATAATCTTACCACAAAGTTTAGTCTGGAAGGCAGAGGTCAGTGTTTCAATCTGACTGAAGTTAGCAACCAGAAACACATGTTCTTCATGTGGTTCACTGCCAATGGACTTCAGGGTGTTCATATCCACTCTTCCTACTCCAATAGCAAAAATTAGGATTCCTGAGTTACGTGCTTTAGCAGCAATCTCTGCCACAGGATCCTGAGGCCTCCCATCTGTCACTATCATGATAATTCGGGGCACATTCTGCCTCAGAGGTCGAGCCCCCTCTGTCTCTGTAAATGCGATGTTCACAGCATACTGCAGAGCCAGTCCAGTCATGGTGCCGGTGGCCAGGTGCATCATCCTCTTCACTGCTCTTTCGATATCCTGCTTCCGCCTGAAGGTCTTCAGTGAAAACTCCTGTTTGACCGTGCTGCCGTACTGAATCAGACCCACGCGCGTGGCGTCAGGGCTGATGTCCAGAAACTGCAAGATGGTCAAAATGAACTCCTTCACTTTTTCAAAGTCATAATGGCTCACACTGCGAGAGCTGTCAATGATGAAAACAAGGTCCAGATGTTTGTTGTTGCAAGTGTTTTCTAAAAGGAAAATGCAAACAAAAATACAATTTCAAAAGGTGAACAGGTTCAGGTTTACTGTCTAAACAAACACTCTGACAAGTGGTGTGAAAAATCAGGAAAAAGAGGAGATACCACAATTAAGACTACTTGGGAAATATAAATTTGTTCTCTAGTAAAAAACAAAAACTGCCTGATACTTGATCATTATATGTATTTTTGTGTGTGTGTTTGTGTGAGTTAAATGCCCAGAATGGTTAATGGCAGTGGAATGGTGAGACAGAATCACACAACCAGAGAGTAGTTTGTGTTGGAAAGGACAATAAATATCATGTAGTTCAACTCCTCTGCGGTGAGCAGGGACACCTTCCACTACTAGACCATGCTGCCCAAAGCCCCATCCAACCTGGCCTTAAACACTACCAGGGATGGGACATCACAACTTCTCTGGGCAACCTGTTCAAGTAAAGAATTTCTTCCCTATATCTAATCTAAACCTGGCCTCTTTTAGTTTATTATTGGTTCATTACTTCTTGTCCTATCACTACATGCCCTTGTCAAATGTCACTCTTCAGGTTACTTGATATTGTGTCATTGTTGAGATTTTGACCTCATTCCCCATGCAGGGTGGAAATCCTCTCTGAATGACAGTTAACTATTTAAGTGGGCTGCACTGTGATGATTTCTGTGGCAGGGCCTTCAAATTTAGAAATCTAATACTGTGACAAGTCAGGGGGATATAAGTGTTTCTTTAGAAACAGGGAAAATAGAAAACAAAGAAACACAAGTCAAAAGCATCTGTTAATTGCACTGACTGGTAAGAGATGTGAAGGCACTGGAAGTTGGCAGTAAGCAGCACTTTGTATGTACAAAGTACTGTTCTCAATGACGTCAACTGCAGCTGTGAGTGCTCAGCAGTTCTACAAAACAAATGTCATGATTTCAAACATGTAATTAATACCCATCTGGGGAAAGTCTCATGCATTTGACTAGCTCAGCATCACAGACAACTTCTATGGTTGCATTGGAGAGAAAATCCTGTTGTCTACAGTGGCACTCCACTCAGCCCAAAAAAACTCTTACTGAGCACTCCCTGAAATCTCTGTCAGCCGTCAGAAGCCTTTTTTTCCAAAGGTCACTGAAGCAGAAATATTACAGACAGAGTATGTCTGTATTTGGCAATGGCACAGATGGGCAGGCCAAGCTATTATTGATAGCAGCAGAAGTGAAAGCTGCTTGCCTTCTAGGCATCCTACAAGGTGTCTGGGACCCTGGGTGTGTCCTCTGGTTTCTGCTCACCATCCTTTTCTGAAAGAATATGAGAAATAGGAGACACATGCATGAGTTGCATGATGAGAATGGATAGGGACTGACCATTCACAGGAAACCAGCACATGGCAGGCTTGAGGCAAGCCTGCCAGGTGAGCTCAGACTTGATACAGAAGGAGACAGCATATGGAAAAAGATTAAAAGTACTTTGATGGGATGCTGATGAAAAGAAATCAATAGAGGTTTAACATGTATACTAAAGACTCCTCCAAATTAGGAAATCCCTGAGTCACAAAAGCATTGAAGTTCAGGGGATAACTGCAGGTGTTTTCCTTGTCCTTAAACTATTCCACATACATCTACTTTTGACCTCTGTCAGAGACAGAATATAGGTTTAGATAGACTTCAATCATTATGTCTGCTCATCTACTTAAATTCCTATGGCTATGAATAAACCTGTGTTGTGTTTGTATGCCTAGCTTGAAGGATTAAAGATGGCAAGAATGCTCATTAGACTGCAGTGGCACCCTCATTTTACTAAGATGAGACACCTCTAATGAGTAGTTTCCCTTATTGCCAAACCCAGTTCAATTCCCAGTGCACCATCATCCATTTTGTGCAGCGAATGAAGCAGATGTTTGGTGGAAAAGTAGTGTCTGACTGTATAATCAAAGGTCATGTCACACTGCACTAGTACAAGTGGGCCAATCAAGGACTCAATTGGAAAAATGTCTGTCTGCAGACTGTCCTTTAAACAAGTTCACTTGTGACTGCTGACGAACGCTCATCATGCACTTCTGCCAAGGCAGGGGGTGAGAAAGATGCCTGTTTTCACTTGTTAACTCAGAAGCCTCTTTCATAGACTACCAAGAACATTTTTTGGCATAGAATAAAAATGCTCTCTAATGACAATAAAAATGACTGCCTGGATTTATTCATGTGCAGTCTACAGTACAGCTTTATTCATAAGCGTAGGAATATGCTTGGGTTGCTTATTCTTTCAAAATCAGAGCAGGTTGAATATAAGCCAAGCTGAGCAGAAACAAAACTCCAGTTCTAATGGAATACAGATATCCTGACGTAACTATTTTCCACCTTAGTATCTTCATTATAATTATCCATATATATATATATATATAAAATTACAAATTTTCTTTACTAATACAACATGAATGATTCCAGCAATACAAAGATAATGCTAAGTTATTATTTGTGGGAGCAGAGCAATAGTAAAAGAGGATAATTACAGAAAAAAATGCTAAGAATATGTGTGTGCATATGAAAGGAAGGACAGACAAGGGAGAAGGGTAAAATGGCTGCCATTTTATTTCCCTTAAAACACTTCAGCATGGTTTCATTAAAGGCAAATCATGCTTGACCAGCCTGATTGCCTTCTATGATGAAATAACAGCAATAACAGCCTGGATGGATGAGGGGGAAGCAGGGGATATTGTCTACCTTGACTTCAGCAAAGCTTTCTCTCACAATATCCTCACAGGCAAACTCAGGAAGTGTGAGCTGGGTGAGTGGACAGAGACATGGATCGATTGGCTGAACAGCAGATCCCAGAGTCCTAATTAGTGGGACAGCTGGAGGCCTGCTGCTAGTGGCATCTACCAAGGTTCAGCCCTGGGCGCAGTATTGTTTAACTTTTCACCAATAACTTGGATGAAGGGGCAGAGGCCTCCTCAGCAAGTTCCCCAAGAACACAAAGCTGGGAGGAGTGGCCAATACCCCAGAGTGTTGTGCAGCCCTTCAGAAGGACCTCGACAGACTGGAGAGATGGGCAGAGAAGAACCATCTGAAATTCAACATAGGCAAGTACAGGGTCCTTGGTCCTGTAATAACCCCAGGCACCAGCACAGTATCCTGCTGGAAGCAGCTCTACAGAGAAGGACCTGGGGGTCCTGGAGGACAACAAAATGTCCATGAGCTGGCACCGCGTTCTTGGGACCAAGAAGGCCAAAGGTATCCTGGGGTGCCCTAGGAAGAGCATTGCCAGGAGGTGATCCTGCCCCTCTGCTCAGCCCTAGAGAGGCCACATCTGGAATGCTCTGTCCAGTTCTGGGCTCCCCAGTACAAGAGAGACATGGAGCTGCTGGAGTGGTTCCAGAGGAGGGCTACAAAGATGATGAGGGGACTGGTGCATCTCTCTTGTGAGGAAAGGCTGAGAGAGTTGTGCCTATTGAGCCTCAAGAGGAGGCATCTGGGAGGGGACCTCATCAACATCTCTCAGTCTCTGAAGGGAGGGTGTCAAGAGGATGGACTAGGCTCCTCTCAGTGGTGCCAAGCAATAGAACAAGAGGCAATGGGGCAGAGAATGATGCAAAGGAAGTTCCACCTGAACGTGAAGAAAAACTTCTTTACTGTGCAGATTCACTGGAACAGGCTGCCCAGAGAGGTGGTGGAGTCTCCCTCACTGGAGATATTCAAGAACCACCTGGATACAATCCTGTGCTATGTGCTCTGGGATGGCCCTGCTTGAGCAGGGAGGTTGGACCAGACGACCCACTGTGCTCCCTTCCAACCTGAGCCATGTTGTGATTCTGTGAAAACAAGTCAAAACTATAGCCATGGTGTTGAATCCTTTTAATTGGAATATAAAGATTTAGATCCCACTCTAAAGAGACTCATTTGTCTATTTTCAAGTCTGGAAGGAATCTTGGTGGGAAAAAGCTTGGAGAGCGTTGGTGGATAGTAGTACCAAAAACACATTCAATACTGTGTTGAATTACTTTAGAAATTACTTTAGAAAAATCTATTACTTTAGAAATTACTTTAGAAAAATCTATTCATCTGAATGAAACACAGTGTATTTCAAGACTACTTTGATCATTGAAGTTCTATCTATAGAAATACCAAACATTTCCAAATTAAGATGTATTTGAAGTCTTTGTCTTCTGATTTGGTATGATTTTTTTAAAAAACTCTGTAATTATTAAAGTTGATTTCACTTGGGCTCAGTGAAAAATAATACATAACTCTTCTACAATAAAAAATCCAGATTGCTGGTATTTTGAGTAGTGACAATCAGTAGTAATGACTAACAGATTTAAACACTCATCCCCTCAGATAAATTTTCAGTGATAGCTTTTTAGCAGCTACATGCTTCTTCATTTGTCCTGTAAGCTATAATCTCTTCCTCTGACCAAATCTCATTTTGAACAGTGAGCTTTCACACAACTTTGGCAAACATCTTCATAACTAAAAGTAATTCCCTTTCACTTTTATGAAAATTGACATGCTCATTGAAAAGAGCTACTCATCCATAAACCTACTTCTAAGTCAGCAGAGGTCTTGTATTGCAAACACTGAAAAGAGCTACTCATCCATAAACCTACTTCTAAGTCAGCAGAGGTCTTGTATTGCAAACACCAAGTTAAAAAAATCCCTCAGTGTGGGTTGCATTATCCAAAGGAGAAGCCAGGAGAGGCAAGACAAAGACAGATCAGAAGGAAAGATCAAGTCAGTAGTAAATACGTTCTCCTTCTCTACTCAATATCCACTTTCTAAACGGCAGTTACAGTGATGCCACCTTTGGAAAACTAACAATGCAAGGAAATTTCAGTTCTACTGGGAAGAATCCAGCTGGGATCCAATTACTGAGAGATACATAAAACAAAGCTTAAAATAATATTGAGCACCTTAATTTCCTTTAAAGCTGAAAATTCTGTTAAATCATTTTATCTGATGACAGCAGGTTTCCTTCTATTCCTTTCTCAAAGCAAATTATGCTCAGCCTGTTTTGGCTT